GTAATTCCTGCTAAAAACACTTGTCATCCTTCCCCATTTGCTTACTCTGCCGCAAAGGGAGTGTAGAGAAATATAGGTGTTTGCTTCCTTCATGAATCCTAATTGAACCTAATTTAAACTGTGTTACTAAACAGCCCTTAAAATAACTCCGTGCAGCAGTCTCGGTGGGAGTGAGGAGTAAGGTTTTATCCAAAGGCAGACAGCCTTTCCCATGTGAACTCCCGTGAGGCAGCAGCTGTCTGTCCGTGGTCATGCAGTGCTGCACTGATGATTTCACAGGTTAAAACTGGAAGCTCTCAGTGACAAGGACCCCGGGACCCCACAGCTGTTCCGCGGGGAGGGTGACGGTGCCGATGCGGAGCCAGGGAACAGCGGGACAGGCGAGAGTGACCCCAGTGATCCCGAGGGGCTCCTGCTACCCTCCAGCCAGTGCAGTGGCAGTGACCTGCCTGGCAGCCAGCCCCAGCCCGTGGCAGCCCAGGCCATCATGGAGGAGGAGGAGCTGACGATAGAGGAATTCGACAGTGACTGAGCCCCAGGCACCCCCCCCCGCCTTTCCAGCTGAGGTGCTGCGAAGGCCTGGGCTGAAGAGAGCATGGCCTGCCCCAAAGTGCTGCCTAAGCCACAGAGCGGGGCTGGGAGCCAGGTCTAAACATGCTGTGTGAGCATCGAGACAGCTCTCCTCAGTTTCCTCCTCACTGTGCAGGATCAGCCCTGAGCTGAACTCTAAATCACAAGCAACTTCCTGCCTCTCCTGAGCCACAAAATCATCTATAAAAAGAGAGTAATAAATGACTGAAGTCTGCCTGAAGGAGGCTGTAGATCAGCAGTGTTAGTCTTAACTTATTTTTATTTTTCTCATTTTAATTTACTTTGCAGTTGTACACCATGTTTCCTGAGTACACATGCCATAAGTTGTCAGCGTTTGAAGGTTTTGTTGAAATTCATACCTTCAGAAGAACCTGCTGTTCGGAAGTTTGTACGTTCATGAAATAGGAGGCTGAAATGTGCACAGAAAAAGTTTGGTGTCCCATAGTGATGATGTAAAAAAAAATCCTGCTGTATTAATACTGTTTAGTACTCTGACTCAGATTTTTATGTCTTTATAAGTAAGTTTATATGTTGTACCATAGCTTATTTTGGATTCCTTGTTGAAAGATATTTTTGTAACTTATGGAGGGGGAAATGAAACAATCAAGCATAAGCTGTACTCTATAGGAAGTTTAAAGTGTGTAAAGTGCAGTTTTTCTCCTGAAGTTGCACTTGTGCTGGGACAAAGCCTGATTTTGTGTTTGGTACAGTGCTGGGGATAGTGATACCTCAGGAGTGAAGAAAAAAGTGTAACCAAATGCCTTTGACTGTGTGGTACATGTTTGCATTTCTGTATAGCTCACAGCCAGAGTTTAGTAAGAGAAGACACATGTTTATCCACCCAGACCTTGGGTCAATGCTATTAAAGAGTCTGGATTTGTCCTCTCCTAAGGGACAGCTGTAGTCTTTCTATCTACACCTGTTGTTTAATTTTGAAGAGAGAAATTTCTGTTACAGCTCATTGCTGCAAAGTCAAAATGTCTTTGGTTGTCGATGCCCATCAGCCCTGTTCTTCCTCTCGAGGGTGCTTTGGATGAGCTGTTTCTGAGGTACCTGCTGTGCAAGTGACAATAAGGCAGGAAATACTTATTTTTGTTTTCCAGGCACAATCCCAAGCTTCTTTGTTGTGTCTTTTCAGATTTCCTTACTGTAGTACCAGGTATTAACTGTTACTTTCACATTAGCTGTTTCCCATTGGCCTTGCCCTTGGTAGGGCCAAATTCAGTCCTCACCTGGCAAATTACACCCTGTGATGGCAGAGCCTGGGCTGTGTGATTACAGCTCACAGTAATTACGTAAAACCTGTTTCACGTGAAACACCACACACACAAAGAGAGCATTGTCCTCTTTGAAGCCCCAGTTTCTTGCAGTGCTGGTGAGTGCCCAGTTACCGTCCCCTCAGCTCCAGGGGCGGCAGAGTGCAGTGCTGGGACCGTGTCAGTGCTGCAGCCCACCCTCCTACCTCTCTCCAGGGTCCGTTTCCGTTCCCTCAGCACTGTCCCAGTTACGGGGCAGGGAAAGAAGGTCTGTCCTCTGGGTAGGGGTGATTTAGGAGCATCTCACGAAGTAAAGATACATGGACCTTTTTGTTGTGGTCAGAGCATTTGAACAGCCGTGGCAGGCTCTGGGGAGCCCCCGTGGCTCGTGCTGGAGCCCACCCCGCACTCGGTGTCCGGGTGTGGCTGGGGTGGGTTTGGTGCAGTGGATGTGCTGCCGTCGGTGCTGGCAGCTCCCAGCACGCTCTGCCTCCCGGGAGAGCGGGACAGGAACAGGGACACGGATGCAGGTGATGGAGAGCAGCACAGAAATGTAGAAGTTAAACACAAGAAACAGTAATTCCTTTTTTTCCTCCCTATTCCATGTGCCTGGGGTGGGAGGGGGATGTCCCGTTGTGACATCATGTGCTGGCAGAGGGTGACACCCCAAGCGGCCCGTCTCTGGGGGGTGTTGTGATGTCACCCTTTCCCCGATGGGCCCCGCAGAGCCCGGGACACTGTGGCTTGAGCCTGGACTCCTGAGTGAGGTTGCGAGGTCTGGAGGGTCGAGCGAGGCTTCTCCCGGTGCTGGTGGTGCCTCGGGGGCTCCGTCGGCAGCTCAGTGCCCCCTCCGGGGCCATTCCCTGTGTTTGCTTAGCCCTGCCTGGTTTGGGCAGCTGGGCACTGCGGGTGTTTGCGGCAGAGGAGGTGAGGTGGTGGGGAAACTCCTCACGGGGTGCCCAGGAGGAGCGGGGAGGGTGTCCCAGAGCGGCCTGGGTGTTGCATCCTCCCCGCCCCGGGGCAGCCTCTGACCACGGTCCCGTTCCGCCGTGCAGTGCCCGATACCCTTCGGAAGCACCACAGAATCGTCAGGGTCGGAGCAGCCCCTCAGGCCCGCCCCGGTGCCCGCCATGGGCATCGCCCCGTCCCGGGCGCTGCCCGACCCGGCGCGGTGGGCGAGCCGGGCCACGCAGACCGAGTGGGACTGCCCGGTGTGCGAGCGCGTGTGCTGCGACAGCCTGGCCGTGCCCTGCGGACACGCGTTCTGCCTGGGCTGCCTCCTGCGGGCCGCGGCCTCGGACCCCGCCTGCCCCCGCTGCCGCAGCCCCGTCATCGCCGCCCGCTTCTCCGTGCTGGGCGACGCCGATTTCCTGCAGTGCATCCTCAGCCCGCCGGGCCGCTCGCCGGGGGCGCGCAGGGCTCAGTTCCGCCTGGTGGAGACCTGCCCCCGGCCCCGCCGGCCCCGCGGTGCCCCGGCCGAGCCCCCCGGGGCGCTGCCGCCCGAGCTCTGGGCCGAGCTGCTGCACGGGCAGGAGCACCTGCTGGACCCGGTGCGGCCGTGGCTGCGGCACAGCCTGGAGGCGATCCACGGCCCGCGCTGGTGGGAGGCCCGCGAGGTGGAGAGCATCGCCCTCTCCGCGCTCTGCATCTACGGCCCCGACAGGGCCGCGCTGGCGCAGATGCTGCAGAGCTACCTGGGGGAATACACGGCCCCGCTGGTGCACGGGCTGGTCCGCGTCACCCTGAGCCAGTGCGGCCAGGCCTGGCGGCTGCGGCGCTCCCGACCTGCCAGGGAGCGGCCCGGGAGCTCTGCGTCCAGCTCCAGCTGCTCCTCCTCGCCAGGGGGAACATCCCCTGCCAGCCCCGGGGGCACCCCCACCCACAGCCCCGGGGGCACCCCCACCCACAGCCCGGGGGGCACCCCCACCCACAGCCCGGGGGGCACCCCCACCCACAGCCCCGGGGGCACCCCCACCCACAGCCCGGGGGGCACCCCCAGGCCCAGCCAGGCCGGCGCTTGTGACCCCGCGGGGTTGGGCCTGGAGGAGCAGCTCAGCACACCAGAGGCTCCCCCTGGGAGTTCTGGCCACCCCCCATCTGTGCCCGTCCCTGCAGAGCAGGAACAGCCCCAGGACACGGCCCAGGAGCCCGGGGAGGCTCCAGGTCCCTCCACTCCCAACCAGGACAGGGGCCATGAACGCCGACAGCACCGGCACCCCCGAAAGAGGAGGGCCCCTCACCGCCACAGGTCCTCGCAGCCCAGGAGGAGGAAAAAGAAAAGGAAATAAATTTCCTTGACACAGTCTCTGAGTGCTGCTTCCTCCCCCTTCTCCCGAGGCCCTTTTCCTGTTGTTCGAGGCTCCCACACCCCCAGTGCCCCAACACCACCTCCCAGGGAAATCCTGAGTGGAGCCGTGGTGATGCCAAAGCTCTCATGGGCAGAAAGATTCTTGTGTCTCGTTTTGCCAGCTGAGCTTCCCATCCCCTTTCAGATCCCTTCAGTCAATCCATTGCTGACGTATCTTCATTTCCATGATGGGAAGTCATCAGTCCTTTCCAAGCAGGGACCTGGGAATGGTGCAGGAGCCCCCAGGAGGGCAGAGAAACCCTGTGATGTCCTCAGCTCCACCCCAGGATGAAGCAGCCTCTGCCTGGGTGTGGGGTTTAAGGATTGCCTGGGCAGCTGCCTACACGTGGGATGTGGGCTGGGACAGGGAAAAAGGCAGGCACAGCCTGACAGTGGGACAGAGTTTGGGTTGGGAAGGGCTTGTGGGCTGGATCAACAAATGGATCACAGGGTTGAAGGGGAGCAGCTGCAGGAGGGAGAGCGCCCTTCAGCCCATCCAGACCCCAAGGGATGGGGGTAGATCCTGCTGCTGCCGGTGGGCTCCGCATCCCCGGGAATCACCCTGTTACTGCCCGGGGTGCCACACGTTCAAATAAAAGTGCAGGGTGCCAGGGGATGCCACGGGCAGACTCCCGCGTTCTGTCCCCGTGACAGACCCTCAAGGTCTCCCCGCTCCCCTCCCCAGCCCAGTGTCCCGCGTGGAGCAGCCGGCACGACTGCGATGCCGCGGGGGCGGGGCCCAGTCGCGACAGGAGGCGCTGATTGGCCGCTGAACCGCGGCCCGGAAGCGGAAGCGGCGCAGGAAGAGGAGAGGAAGAGGAGAGGAAGAGGAGCCGATGGAGGCGGCGGAGCCCGGCGGGCAGTGCTGGCTGCGGCCCTTCTCCTGCGAGCAGGGGCTGCTCTCGCGGCCCGACGGCTCGGCCGCCTTCCTGCAGGGTCTGTGGGGCCGAGCGCCTGGGGCTGCCCCTCGGGGCTCTCCTTCCTGCAGGGGGCCACATTCCCGGGGTCCCCTTTTCCCCTTTCCAGCCCTTCCCGCAGGGTCTCCCCCCGTTCCCGGGGTGCCCGCTCTGCAGGCTCTAGGGGCTCCACTCCCCGGGGCTCCCGTTTCCAGCCCTTCCTGGCTCCCGCTGGGGGCTCCCCTCCCCTCCCCATCCCATCTCATCTCATCCCTTCCCTTCCATCCCCTCGCTGTCCGCAGGTGAGACCTCGGTCCTGGCCGGGCTCTACGGCCCCGCCGAAGCGAAGCTCAGCAAGGAGCTGCCGGACCGGGCGGCGCTGGAGGTGCTGCTGCGCCCCAAGGTGGGGCTGCCAGGTGGGACCCCCGGCCCTACCCCAGAACAGGGAGCCGAGGTGTTGGAGTTATTTATAGCTCTTTATTCACAGTTTGCTGGGCAGCAAATCCCCAAATGCAGCACAGCGAGCTCCAGGACTTGCTACTGTTTATACGCTGTATTTATACACATTTTGGCAAACAAAGGCATTAGTGTTCATCAGCTACAGGTTACACAGTTCTCTTGTTAATTACTATTCTGTTGGTTAATGACTCTCACTTCTCATGCTAGTTGGTCCCATGCTCCTTTGGGGTTGGGGGGGTTTCTTGGGTTGGTGGTCACAGCCTGCCCGTGCTGGAATCACCCTGAATCCAGGGGGTGCAGATTCAGCCCAGGTGCTGAATTGTCTTTCTTAGTTCCTTTCTTATCTCGGGGTTTCTGCCAGATGTCCTTGTGGGCCGTAAATTCTGCGTTCCCTGTGTCCACTGTCAGGGGAAATTCTTCCTCCCAAGGCTGGATACCCTCCCTCAGGGCTGGGAGACACATCCAGCCCTAAACCTTAACAAGGCAGTTCCACCAACCAGGAATTTGTGTTTCTGTTACCTGGACATCACCCAGAGCTCGCTGGCTGCTCTTTAATCTGTGTGTTTAACCCCTGCTCTGGAGGCTGGGAGCACAGAGCCACCGTCAGGCAGCAGCCTCAGGGTGTGTGGTGTCGTTGGCAGGGGTGCTGGAGCGGAGCCGGGAGCAGCAGCTGCGCCAGACGTGCGAGGCCGTGGTGCTGGGGGTGCTGCACCCACGCACAGCCATCACACTGGTGCTGCAGGTGCTCAGCGACGCAGGATCGGTATCCTTTGGTGGGAGGCTGTGGGGGAACAGCTCACACTGTGGGTATCCTTTGGTGGGAGGGTTTGGGAACAGCTCACACTGTGGGTATCCTTGGCCGGAGGGTGTTGGGGGAACAGCTCACACTGTGGGTATCCTTTGGCTGGAGGGTTTGGGAACAGCTCACACCGTGGGTTTGGGGCCGGGGGCCGGAGCTGTGCACTGTCCCTTGACTGTGGCCCCAGCTGCTGTCGTGCTGCCTGAACGCCGCCTGCATGGGGCTGCTGGACGCGGGGCTGCCCCTCTCCTCCCTCTTCTGCGGCGTCACCTGTGCCCTCGGCCCCGATGGCACCATCACCCTCGACCCCACAGCACGGCAGGAGCAGGTGAGCCCAGCAGGAGCAGGTGAGCCCAGCAGGGGAGTGCCTGGCACTGCGAGTGCCCCCCAGCTCCCCTGACGCCCTGGTCCCGCAGGAGGCCCGCGCCGTGCTCACCTTCGCCATCGACAGCAGCGAGAGGAAGGTGCTGATGGCCACCACCAAGGGCAGCTGCTCCGTGGAGGAGGTGAGGGACTCCCGGGGTCTGGGGGTGTGGGAGCCCCTCGGGGGAGCCTGGCCCCCATCCCACCCCATTTCCCCTGCAGATGCAGCAGTGCCTGGTCACGGCCCAGCGTGCCGCAGACACCATCTTCCAGTTCTACCGCGATTCCCTGCACCGCCGGTACTCCAAATCCTGACCGGGCCAGCCCGGACCCCCCACCCAGTAAAGGACCTTTCTGTATCCCCTGTGCCTCTGGAGTTCATCCCGCGCCACAGGGGCCCCCAGGGGTGGGGGGCAGACAGGGACGTGCCCAGGACACGTGTCCTGAGCCCCTAAAGTGGGGACATGCCTGGGAACGCCTGTCCTGACACAGCTCCCAGAGCAGAGCTCGCACGGGGACACGGCCAGGACACGTGCTGTGCCGGGACACGGAGCAGCGGCGCCGGTACCGCTCAGACCAGGACACGGAGCAGCGGCGCTGGTACCGCTCAGACCGGGACATGGAGCAGGCGGAGCCGGTACCGCTGAGACCGGGACAGGGAGCAGCGGAGCCGGTACCGCTCAGACCGGGACAGGGAGCAGCGGAGCCGGTACCACTCAGACCGGGACAGGGAGCAGCGGAGCCGGTACCGCTGAGACCGGGACAGGGAGCAGCGGAGCCGGTACCGCTCGAGACCGGACACCCCCCGCGGGCCGTACCGCTGAGACCGGGACAGGAGGCAGCGGAGCCATCCACTCCAGACCTGGGACAGGGAGCAGCGGAGCCGGTACCGCTGAGACCGGGACAGGGAGCAGGCAGAGCCGGTACCGCTCAGACCGGGACAGGGAGCAGCGGAGCCGGTACCGCTGAGACCGGGACAGGGAGCAGCGGAGCCGGTACCGCTCAGACCGGACACCCCCCCGGCGGAGCCGGTACCGCTGAGACCGGGACAGGGAGCAGCGGCGCCGGTACCGCTCAGACCGGGACTCCCACACGGCGGAGCCGGTACCGCTCAGACTGGGACTCCCACACGGCGGCGCCGGTACCGCTGAGACCGGGACAGGGAGCAGGCGGAGCCGGTACCGCTGAGACCGGGACAGGGAGCAGGCGGAGCCGGTACCGCTGAGACCGGGACAGGGAGCAGGCGGAGCCGGTACCGCTGAGACCGGGACAGGGAGCAGGCAGAGCCGGTACCGCTCAGACCGGACACGCTGCGCTCGCTGCCACCGTGACCTTCTCAGCATGGCGGCGCCGCTGAGGGACGGGTCGGACCTTCCTGGGCGGGGCTGGCGGCGCCGCGGCCAATGGGGCGGTCGGGAGGCGTCACGTGTCTGGGAGACACCATGTGCCGCGGGGCGGGGGGGCGAAATGTAGGATTTTGTGGGGGAATGGGGATGATAAGAGGGTGGAGCGAGGGGTTTGGGGGTGTAGTAACGGCGAAGTTTGGGGCATAGTAAGGGTGACAGTGGAGGATCCAGTGTGGGAGATACGGTGGTGGTAAGGGGAGATAGTGAGGGATGTGGAAATGCAATAAAAGTTACCGATGGGGGCCATAATGGGGTGTGGGAAATGATGTCACACGGCGTTGCAATGAGGGGATGCCAAAGCTCCGCTTAGAAAAAAAAATAGTAAAAAAGAAACCGACGGGAAAAGCCCACCAAAAAAACCCAAACCCAAAAAACGCCCCACCAGACCGCAGTAAATCCGAGGAAGCCGTGGCGGGGCCTTGCCGTGATAAACACGCACGCAGGGCGGGCTGCCCCGCGCGCCGCGCACGTGACGCTCACGTGGCCGCACACGTGACTGGCCATGGCGGCGGCGGTGCGGGGGCGCCGCTTCAAGTGGTCCCTGGACCTGGGGGCGGCCCCGGGCGGCCGGTGAGGGACGGGGGGGGCCGGTGAGGGACGGGGGGGGCCGGTGAGGGACAGGGGGGCCGGTGAGGGACGGGGGGCCGGTGAGGGACAGGGGGGGCCGGTGAGGGACGGGGCCGGTGAGGGACGGGGGGCCGGTGAGGGACGGGGGCCGGTGAGGACAGGGGGCCGAGTGAGGGACAGAGGGCACGGGGGGCTCGGGGAGGCCGGAGGACGGGGGCGCAGTGGGGCGAGGGCGGGGGCGGCGAGGGCAGGGGGCACGGTGGGGCTCGGGGGCCGGTGAGGGCGGGGGGGCACGGGGTGGCGAGGGCGGGGGCGGTGAGGGACAGGAGGGGCCGGCACCCCCGCTCAGCCCGCCCTGTGCCCTTAGGCCCCGCGGCGCCGCCGAGGGCCGCGGCCCGCTCGGGTTCGCCGACCGGCAGCTGGGGGAGGGCGGCGTCCACGAGAGCGACAAGATCCTCATGGAGAAGGTGGGACGGGGGCGCCTCGGGACCTCTTGCGGGGCGGCCCGGCACCGGGGGCCCCCAATCCCGCCCTCCCGGGGGGTGGCCACTCAGTGTCCTCAGCCCCGGGGCCCTCACGGGCAGTGCTCCCTGGCCCATGAGGGGTGGTCTCTGGCCGGGTCTCCCCCTCATCCCGGTCCCCCCCGCCCCAGATTTCCCGGGGGGGTCCCTGGCTCAGCTCCCCCCATATCCCGGCTCCCCCGTGGGAGGGGGTCTCTGTGTCCCCCACACTCTGGCCCTGCATGGGGATGGTTTCCTCGGTGCCCCAGATCTCAGGTCCCCCCTGGGGGATGGTCCCTGCCCTGGGTCTCCCCACACCTCGTGGGGTTGGTCCCCCGTGTCCCCCCTGCACCCCGAGGGTTGTCACCGTGGGTCCTCCCCCTGTCGTTGCAGCGCTGCTGGGACGTGGCGCTGGCGCCGCTGAAGCAGATCCCCATGAACCTGTTCATCATGTACATGGCTGGGAACACCATCTCCATCTTCCCGGCCATGATGGTCTGTATGATGGGCTGGCGCCCGCTCCAGGCCCTCATGTCCCTGTCTGCCAGTGAGTACAGCCCCCATGGGGGGCCACGGGCCCCGGGAGGACACATGGACACCCACAGACACACAGCCATCCACGGACACACGGACACCATGGGGGGCACACACAGACACCTCTGGCCCCTGGGAGTCCCCAAAGCCACCACACAGACATCCCTGGGAGTCCACACAGACACCACGGACCCTTGGGGATTCACACTGACAGTCACAGGTGTCTCCCATAGGTCTGTCCCTGGCTGTCCACACAGACACCCACAGCCTCTTGGATGTCCTCCCCAGCCCCCCAGGTGTCTCCTACAGCCCCCTTCCCCCCTGGGTGTCCCCATGGACCCCTGAGTGTCCTCCACAGCCCCCTCACAGTCACCCCCATGTCAGTCCCACCCACCCCGCAGCAGCTGCCCACCCCTCACAGTCCGTGATAGCCCCCTGTCCAGGTCAGCAGCCCCTGACCCCCTGTGTCCCCCCAGCCCTGAAGGCCCTGGAGAGCTCGAGCCGGCGGGCGCTGCAGGGGCTGGTGTTCCTGGTGGGCAACGGGCTGGGGCTGGCACTGGCCCTCTACAAGTGCCAGGCCATGGGGCTGCTGCCCACCCGCCCCTCGGACTGGCTGGCTTTCGTCACCCCCCCGCAGGTGGGCACGGGTCCCCTGGGGTGGGGGGCTGGGGGTCCCCACAGGACAGCAGGGGTCCTGGGATCCCCCAGGGAAAGGGGTCCTGGGCCCCCCAGGGAAAGGGGTCCTGGGACCCCCAGGGAAAGGGGTCCTGGGATCCCCCAGGGGTCCCAGTCCCCTCACTCACCCCTTTGCTCTCTCCCTTCTCTCGGCAGCGAATGGAGTTCACTGGGGGGGGCCTGATCCTGTGACCCCCCACGCCCACCCACCAATAAAGGCGATGGCAGGATGGTGATGTTGTTTTTGGGGGGAATTCAGAGGGTTTGAGGTGCCCAAGGAGGTGCTAGAATGGGGCAAAGCAAAAAGGGTTTGTGGGGCTGTACTGGCAGTGCTGGGGGCCGCACTGGGAGCACCCTGAGGGCATTGGGGCAGCTCTGGTCTGTGCTGGGAGGGCCCTGGGAACCTTGGGTCTGCACTGGAGCTGTACCTGGGGCCCCAGGACCCATGTCTGGGGACATACTGGAAACTCTGGAAGTGTTCTTGAGGCCTTGTGACCACTACTGGGATCATACTGGGAGAACTGCAGCCCGAGGTTGGCTCCGTACTGGGAACACTGGGGATCATATCAGGAACTTGGTATAAATGTAGGTTGTGCTGGTGTTGTACTGGGAGTGCTGGGTCCATAGTGGGAGTGTAGGGGCCATACTGGCCTACTTGAGAAGCTGTGGCTCAGACTGGAATTTTACTGGGAGCACTGGTGCTATATGGGAAGCACTGGATCCATACTGGGATGGTGATGGGCAAGCCAGGGCAACATACCACTGTTTTCTACCCCAATTGACCACATTACTCTGCCTTTTCCCCAATTTCCTTGGTTTTCTTCCCACTTCTTCCCCCTTTGTGCCCGATTTCCCCCCCTTTCCCTTGTTTTTTCATGCATTTTTCCCCATTTTTGCAATCATTTCTTCCACTATTGCTCCCAATAGAGCCCAGACGTTCCAGTATGGCCCAGTGCCCTCTCCAGGGCTGTGAGTGTGATCCAGGACTCCATGGTAATTCTGTAGGACCCAGAGTCCAATCCTAGTAAATCCCAGTTGCCACCGTGACACCACAGCTGTGCTGGGGGCCTGAGGTGGGGTGGGGGCCCCTTCCCCTATGCCCTCCCCAGAGTCATTTGGGGTGGAAAAACCCCCACGATCAAGTCCCCCCTGTGCCCCATCCCCACCCTGTGCCCCAGCCCAGAGCACTGAGTGCCACGGCCAGGCCTGCCTTGGACACCTCCAGGGCTGGGCACTCCAAACCTCCCTGGGCAGCCCCTGCCACGGCCTGACCACCCTTTTCCAGGGACAAATTCCACCTGATGTCCCACCTGCCCCTCCCCTGGCACAGCTGGAGGCCGTTCCCTCTCCTCCTGTCCCTGTTCCCTGGGACCAGAGTCCGACCCCCCCCGGCTCCCCCCTCCTGTCAGGGATTGCAGAGCCAGAAGGTCCCCCCTGAGCCTCCTTTTCTCCAGGCTGAGCCCCCCCAGCTCCCTCAGCCTCTCCTGCTGCTCCAGCCCCTTCCCAGCTCCGTTCCCGTCCCTGCCCACGCTCCAGCCCCTCCGTGTTCTTGTCTGAGGGGCCCAGACCCAAACACAGGACAGGGGCCCTCAGCAGTGCCAGCACAGGGACAGGACTGCCCTGGGGCTGTGACACACCATTTCTGATACAAACCAGGGCCACTGGCCTTCCTGCTCACCTGGGCACACCTGGGCTCGTGTCCAGGCACTGCTCCGGTCTCTCCTGGAGCTTTCCGTGTCTTTCCAGGTGCAGAGGCTGCCCAGCCCAGCCGTGTCTCCCTCAGGACACCACACACTAATGGCAGGACAAGGGTCTCCTTCCCCCTGTGCATTCCTTGTTCCCTAAAGTTTTGGGAAAGCACACACCGTCCCCTTGGAGCTCCAAGTGTTGAGCACCCCAGCACAGGAGTGGAGGAATCACAGAGCTGCTGAGGGGCACAGTGTGACACACAACCCCTGGGAATGACAGAGCCCACCCTGGAAAGAGCCCCTCATCAACAAACCCAATGCCTTGTAAGATCAGGACACCCAAACTTGAGGTGAAAGTGGGAAGAATTAGTGAAGAGATGCCTAGTTAGTGCTGGGAGCACAGGAATTGTGTTGGTAAGATCATTTCAGAAAATTCCAAGGCACAGCAGCAGCTGCTCTCAGAGTGCCTGGAGATCCCATGTGGACACAGGCACATCTGGATGTGGGAACACCTTTGTTCTGCATCTTTTCCCCGGGGCCAGCCTGGAATGGGCTCACACCAAGTCCACCAGAGTCTGACAGAGTCAGGACTGTCCCCAGCACCAGGACATGGACCTGGAGTGTGGGATGGAGGTCCCTGGGCCAGAGCAGACAGAAAATTCCCCTACTAAGACCCAGGAGGAGGAAAAGCCTCCTGGGTTCAGCAGCCATCAGGTCACCCCTGAATAGGTACCTACAGCACAACCTGAGCTCAGAAACACCCCTGATTTCAAACCCACTGGAATCCAGAGCCACTCACAGGTGGCAACTCCCCTGGGTGCAGTGGGCACATGAGGCTCCAGGTAGGAAGTGTCCAAGTGTCTTGGTTACACTCCCAAAGGGACACTGTTTCCAAGCCTGAGCTGCCCTTGCAACACCCACAGGGGACAGGCACTCAGGACTGTGACCCGAGGGACAGACCCCAGAGGTTCTGCTGGCAGGGGGAGCTGCCACAGGCCAAGCTGCCCTTCCCCCCTGGATTGCTCTGCCCCACCCACCTGGAAAACATGCCCACCTGGACACCCTCTGCCCTCCCTCCACGCAGGGCGGATCAAAGGAGCAGTGAGTGAGCTCCAGGCACAGCCAGGGATATAATCCCACACCCTCCCCCGTGGTATCTCCATGCCCGATGGTTATTGTAAATAAACACAGCGCGACCAGGGCCCTGTGACACAGCTGCTCTCCCGTTTATTCAGAACAAAGTGCTGTGCGCTGGGCTGGGCGGGGACGGGGTGTGACACAGGGCGGGGAGAGGGGGGCAGGCCCAGCACAGGCGGTCCCGGCGCGGGGTCCCTGCCAGCACGGGGCACGTCCCGGGGACGGGGAACGCTGCGGGATCGCGGCAGGGCCCCCTCTGTGCCCCGCATTCACCCGCACGGACAGCAGGCACCTGCCCCTCCTCCGGCCGCATCCTGGGAATGCCGGGCTGTCCGGGTCCCGCCGGCACCGGCCCTGGCACGGGGGGAGCAGCTGCGGGGCCGGCTCCCCGGGGTCAGATGCTGTCCAGCTTCTTCAGGATGAACGGCGCTGGGGAGGGAAAAACACGGGACACGGCCCGGGTCAGGAGGGGCGCGGGGACACCCCGGACCGGGACACGCCGGGACATCCCAGAGGGGGAGCAGGGACACCCCGGACCGGGACATCCCGGAGGGGGTGCGGGGACACCCCGGACCGGGACATCCCGGAGGGGGAGCGGGGACATCCCGGAGGGGGAGCAGGGACATGCCGGACCGGGACATCCCGGAGGGGGAGCAGGGACATCCCAGAGGGAGCGCGGGGACATGCCGGTCCCATCCCGTCACTCACTGATCCGCAGCAGCGCGACGTAGATGAGGAAGTTGCGGACAGAGGCGAGCACGTCCCGGCGCATTTTCCGCCGCAGCTCCTCGGGGTCCATCTTGGGCCCGAGCCCCTCGATGCGGAACATCCCGGACCCGATCCCGATCCCGGTCCCGATCCCGGCCCCGATCCCGGCCGCGGAAGCGCGTGACCAGGCCCGGCCGCGCGCGCTTGCAGCGCTGACGCCACTTCCGCCCCACGTGGAGCGCCCGGGGCGTGCCCAGCCCGGCGGGGATCCCGGTCCGGAGCGTCCCGATCCCGCGGGATCCCGGTCCGGGAGATTCCCCTCCCCGGCGGGTCCCGATCCCGCGGGATCCCGGTCCGGGAGATCCCCGCCCCGGCGGGTCCCAATCCCGCGGGATCCCGGTCCGGGAGATCCCCTCCCCGGCGGGTCCCGATCCCGCGGGATCCCGGTCCGGGAGATCCCCGCCCCGGCGGGTCCCGATCCCGGGGGGGTCCCGGAGCCCCCGAGCCTGGGAAATCCGGACTACGGAACGGTTTCCTTGGGAAAGGAGCTGCTTCGGTGGTTGACCTTTGTCACCTTGAAGCCTCGGGAAAGGCTGGAGCAGGTGACACAGAATCGTGTTCTGTGGGTCTGGGGTGAGCTCCACACCCTCCCTGAGCAGTGGTTCTGGCTCTGTCACCTCCATGAAAAGAAGTCCTGCCTCATGGCCAAGGGGAACCTGTGTTTGAGTTTATGGCTCTTGCTCCTCATCCTGTCACTGGGCACCACCAAAAAGAGTGTGGGATCATCCTCTGACAGCCCCTGGGGATATTGGTGTGGATCAATGGGATGCCTTCTTAGCCTTCTCTTCTCCAGACTGGCCAGGCCCAGCTCCCACCCTCTCTGCTCACCGGGGAGATGCTCCAGACCCCTCATCTCAGATGGCCAAATGCTGACCTTAACTGTGCCCTTTTTTGGGGTCGGAGCTGGTCCAGGCCAGCAGCTTCCCCAGGGAACTGCACACGCCAGCCCCCCTGCTGTCCACAAAAACGGGTTCGTTACTTGCTGTGCAACAAGCCATCAGTTACACCCTGGAGAGAGACACTGAGTGTTCATTTCAGCACTGAGCAAGCCCTGGGTGCTCGGTGTGTTCCACAAACACACCACAGTGACTATTTTTACTATTGTGTTACTATTTACACATTTTAGCAAGCAAAGGCTTTAATGTTCACCGGCTACAAGTTACATAGTTCTCTTGTTAATTAGTACTGTATTGGCTACTGGTTCTCCCACTACCTGTGCTCAGTCCTTCTCTTTTTGGGTCGGGCAGGAGGGTTTGGTGTTGTGGGTCACGATCTGCCCCTGCTGGAGTCACCTTGTACCCAGTGAGAGCTGATTCAGCCCGGTTCTGAGCTGTCTTTATTAGTTTCCTCCTCATCTTTGGGGTTTTGCCAGATGTCCTTGTGGCCCATAAACTCCCTGTGCCCACTGTCAGTGGAAATCCTTGCTCCCAAGATGTGATACCCTCCCCCAGGGCTGAGATCATTGAGATGTGTCCAGCCCTGAACCCCTAACAAGGCAATTCCACCGATCAGGAATCTGTGTTTCCAACACCTGGACATCACTCAGAGCTCGTAGGCTGCTCTCTGATCCATGGATTAAATCTCCTTTCTGGAGGCGTGAAATTTACAAAGATCAAAGGTTAGAAACCATGGTCTCTAAAGGGAATTTTTACACACCCCACATCTTGCAGTGCTCAGAGCACCAGGAATGCTGCCCGAGGTGGACACTGCGGGTGCCTGGAGAGGGGCAAGGGGGGCAGGCAGAGCTCCCACCACCACCCCACAACACAGCTAGGCTTCACAGCCCTCCAGATAATAACAAAAAAGGGGATTTCTCCCAGCTAAGCTGCCCGTGGCCTGAGGCAGAGGCAATTACAGAGCAGCTGCTCTCATTGTGCTGGTGATTACAGGGCTAATTGAGCGCTCCTGGCTCAGATCCCTCCCTGGCTTGGACCCGGGTGGCCAAGGAGGAGGGTTCCCAAACCTCCCACACCCGGCACAGTCACAGGACGTTCAATCCCCGTCCCTGCTGCAAACAAAGGGAACCTGTCCTGCTCTTAGAAGATGTGGGGCTGCCCTCCTGAGAACTTTCCAGTGAGCCCCGGGGGAAAACAAGCACAGCTGCCCGAATCCCCTGCTGACACAAACTCCTGCCTCTGCCAGGTCCAGGAAACCTCATTAGTCATTCCAGGTTTCATTCTGCAGAGCGGCTCTCTCCGGTCTTGGCAGGCAGGAACAGATTGGCAGGTCCTGATTCCATCCTGGCAGAGAAACAAGAAGTTTCTTCCCACATTCCACAGTCGCTGGTCCTCCAACGATCCAGCAGCAGCAGCAAGGCTGTTTCCCCAGGCATTGCTGGGAGGAGGTGAAGGAACGAGGGCATGTCTGGGCAAAGCCGAGCCAAACACGACCCAGTGTTAAGAAGGGATGGAGCAGGGGGGAGACAACAGGGGAGGGCTCTGCCATGACACAGGCTGGGAAGGTGTTGCCACAACATTTGGAGCCACCTCGTTGTCCTTGTCCCTGTTTGAGATGAGGGGATGAGAAACATTGCCTGTGGGAGATGTTCCCATTGGAGAGGTGGAGACTTCAAGTGTGGAGTGATTGTTGAGGGACAGAAGGCTTTGGATTAGGGTTTTGACAATGTCCTGAGCTGTCCTTGAAATGTTTGTATCAGTTTTCCAGAATTCCCTCAAACCTCCAAAGTGCAAAGCTTGGACAGTTCATAGCAGGTCTTTAGTTCCATTCAGTGCCATAATTACAGGAGCCTTTTACTTTCCATTCCCTGGAGCTTTAGTCAGACCATGAGCCACTGGCCAGGCACTGCTTCGAGGTGTCTGAGCAGAACTTGGCAGGACATTGCGTGGCAAACACCTGTGTGTGGCAGGTAACAGCATGAAAAGCTGACAAAAAGTGCAGAGGTTTCTTCAAGGGACACCTGGATCTGCCAAGTGGTTATGGAACAGTGGTGTGAGGAGAGGCCAAACTCCATGGGTAGCTGGAGAGAAGCCGTGGGACCTCCTGGGGCAAGGCCAGGAGTTCCTCTTTGTCAGCTGTAGCACATAATGCCCAGATAACACCAAGGTAAAAGTGTCAGAAACACCAAAACAAAGCAATCGGAAAAAAGTAGCTCTAAGTCTATTGTTCCTTCAGGAGGGATGGACAAAGGAAGCACAAAGACTGGGAGAAGGGTTGAGGGGTGGGAGAAGGGATTGCCATGGTACATGAATGCTGTGGCCAGTGCCGGGGGTGGAAGCAGCCAAACAGCCCCGTGTGAGATCACCACTGCTGGAACATTAACCCACAGCTGTTTTGGCCATGGGGTTACATCACTCCTGCTGTTTTCCCTGGCAGGCCTCAGGACACCCAGGTGAATGGGCTGAATTCCCCAGTGTGGTGGTGTGACTACCTCTTCTGGGTGTGATGCCTTTGGCAGCTCCCTATTGTTCAAAAACAGTTTCAGCTTTTTCTGCCTGAGAAAAGATTGACAAGGTGACAGAGAATAAGGACTTGCTTTGGTGTCCAAACCAACCTCCAAGTTCACTGTACATACCAGCCAGTTAAAGTCCAAGGTGCATTTCAGGGACCAAGGGCAGGCACAGCCTGGCTGCCTCCTCACCCCAAGGGCAAAACCACCGTGAAACTTTGGCTCTGTCTTTTTCTTGCCATTGCTGTGGGGGGTGGAATCTTTCTGGAAAACTGCAAGATTTGGGTGCAAACGAGCTCCACTGTCCACAGGACGGAGCCTGCAGGTGCCAGGGGCATGGCTGTGTGCAGGGTGGGAGTGCAGAGGAGAGGGGCTGGTGGGCAGGGCTGCACAGGCACCTGAGCTGGGATGTGCTGGTGGAAACTTGGACTTGTGTCCCCACAGGTTCTCCCACTCCACGAAGGTCTGGCACTGGGGTAAGACACAGCTGGTGCACAGGGCAGGCAGGAAATAGCACTCAGAAATTATAACTGCCCTAATCACCCTTTCTGAGACCTCAGGCAGGTTCCTAAGGGAAAGGAACTCACCACAGTGGATTGGTCCTCCTCAATAAAAACGTTCTGTGGAGTGGCCCTTCACACACAGCCCTGTGGCGTTTCTCAAGGACTGCTCCCACGTTGTGGAGATGGCTCATCCACCAGCTGGACAGACAGAATGCCTCCCCCCTGGGAAAGGCAGCACCAGCCTGGCCTGGCCCCCTCTGCATGCACTGGTGAGGTCTGGAGGAGCGCCAGGAACCTCCACTCCTGGAAGTGGATCAGGATGTTTCTCACGGATGCACAGCCAAGGCATTCCAGAGGCTCTGGGAAAGCTCCACAGAAACCCTGGGGAGAGGCCAGGTAGGTGTTGCTGGAGCCCTGGTGGCACCTGCCTCGCTGGTGTTTTCAGCCCTTTGCAGGGGTCAGGACTGACCCACCACTGATGGCTTTGTGCACACAAAGCCTTTCTCAGAGCCCCACCCAGGAGTTCCAGCCTGTCCTCCTGCAGTCCCCCAAACCCCACTGGACGGGCTGTGCCGAGGTCTGGGCCCCTCACTCGGGACCAGGAGGGCGTTCCTGGCTGGCTGGTGCCTCCAGGCTCCCCGGCAGCCCAGGGCACAGAGCTCAGCACAGGCCCTGAGTCCCTCCCGGCTGGGCTCTGGTGCCCAGGGCTGTGGCTGCCCAGCCCTGGCAGCTCTGGGCCAGCTCCCCCAAACCCTGTGTGGTGCAGAGCAGGGGTGAGCTGAGCCCAGGGGTGAGCTGAGCCCAGCACTGACACAGCTGCTGGGGCAGGTACAGGTGTCTAACCCAGAGTGCCTGGGTGAGCCCAGCCTAGGCTGGTTCCTGAGGTGCGGGGCAGGTATCCCTCACGAAGGAGGATGCCCCCGCAGACACTTCCCAACAGGAGCTCCCTGGCAGCTCCCGTGGGGCCTGGCCTGCTGTTCCAGCCCAAAGGTTCACAGCATTGGCCCCACTGGACACTGGGGAAGCTTCCAGCAGCTCCTCACAGAAACCACCCCTTTAGTCCCTGGGACCAAAACCTGGCCATACAACCCAGTACAAGCACCCAGGTACACATCTGTGTGTGCCTTGACACACACAGCAGCACAGACACCCTGAGCATTCCCTCATAACCAGCACAAACAGTTTCTGCTCCCATTTCTGTCCTGGAACCACCATGGAAATGCACAGAGCTGGAAGTGGGGCTGGAAGAGGGGCAGGACAGACAGCCCTGACTCAGCGCCAGGCACTGCCAGACAAGCATCCCAACAGGAATGCTGGCCCTGTGTCCTGGCCCTTCCACTGCCTCTCCCCTCAGTGTCCCCACATTTGCTCTCCCCAAACCCTGTCAATGCCTGTGTTTCCCCACATTCAGTTGCTCCCCCAGGTATCCTCCAATGAGCCTTGTGCAATCCCAAAACACTCTTTCCCTGTGCCCTTCAGCGTGTCCTGTACCCCTGGCTGTGACCTTGCATCTGTGGGGTGCCCAGGAGAGGATGGACGTCCCCCATCCCTGTGGGACTGAACCCCCGGGGCTGGAGGTGCTGGGCAGGGTCTGGTGGCTCTGGGGATGTTGCTGTGGTTCCCCTGCAGCTCGGGGCTCTGCTGGTGTGTGCAGATGAGCTTTTCCTCACCAGTGTTCCTGGGCTGTGATCTCTGGTCTCTGAGAGGGCTGGAACTGAAAGGGACTGTTACTGGAGCAGGCACACTGGAATCTTCCCCAGCCAGCTCGTGAAGCCAGGTTTGGATTCACCCATCAATTCTCATCCCCATCCCAGGCGTGTCCCCAGCACCCCAGGTCACTTTATCACCCTTCAGCCAGTCCTGTGGGCTGGGTTTTGGTGGCTGTGGCCCGCAAGAGTGAGGAGCACTCTGGCACTCCAAGGAGAAGTTGTTCTTCCTGCTGTTTCCTCTTCACTTAGGAGAAGCCAAATGTGGCCCTTCTGCTCGTGGAGCTGCATCCTCTGTGTCAGCTCCCTACACTGCTGCAGATGTTCAGGGGGAGAAACCAGCCCCAAAAGCTTAAGCTGGAAGTGAAAAAATATGCTGGAAAGCAACATTAGGGCCTCAAGGCAAATATTTCAGACTTGCCACCCTTTAGCTGTGATCCAGGACAGGGAGGGACAGGAAATGTGAGCCCACAAAAACACTGACCTATAACCATAGCACCTCTGCCCCTGCACCAGGTGGTTGAACATCTCTGGTCTGCAACAGGTTCAGTGTGCTGACCTTTGTGTGAAGGGGACCAGAACCATTTGTCTGTGGCAGTTTAAGAAGTAGGATTAGAGCATAAAGCAGAGTGGAGGAGGGTGAAGGTCTTAAGCCTGTGGAAGGGCACACAGAGTGCCTGGGAACTGGAGCTGTTCCTGCACAGATCCTGCAACCAAAGCCCTGCATCACAGAGGCACTCGGACATTTTGGGCAGCCCTGGCAACCTGCATGAGCTCAGAGAGGGGCTGACTGATCCTCCAAGTTTAGTTTTTCTGCTGTGAAATGTGGTGGGTTTCATCCTTCATGAGATCTTAACCGCATCTCTTCAAAGCTTTTCTGGGTCCTTAGTCCCGGCCATCCCAGAGCCGTTATCCAGATCATAGGACATGCAGGTAGGTGGGTTCACAGGCTCAGCTCACGACTGGGACGAGCTCCCAGAGGTTTCATCCTCCACAGACACGCCTTGGCATGCAAGCAGCCACAAGCTGCAAGCTTCCAAGTAGTTCCGAAATGTTTCCTGGGACAGAAGGCTTTCATAAGTCAGCTGTGACATGATCCACATGTGAGCAATGACAAATGCTGTTCAGAGACAAAATGTCCCATAGCTTTCTGGAGAATTGTATCCCAGGCTTCTGGAACTGAGAATAGTCAAAGATAAGAAAAGCACTTGCTTGGGTCCACCCCACATAGGTCCAAATCTCACGTTTTGTAGGTCAGCATGGAGCTCTGATGTGTCTCATTAGTGGCTACCACTCTTCATCCCCAAGAAAGAGAACTAGAGCTTTATTTCTTTTTTTAATTAAGCTTCTGCTTCCTATGTGGAATGCTTTGAAAACATCACCCAGGGGCAAAGGGGGAAGGGAGATGCGATGCAAGTTGCCCAGGGAAGATGCATGAGTCAGCAACTGATGCAAAACCTTTTTCTGGGCACTGTTTAATGTTATATTAATTTCAGATGTCAGGTCCCAACCTCATTATTTTGTCAGTTTCAGTGTACAGGGTAGTACTGACCAGTGCCAGACAAGTACAGCTTCTACATCAGAAGTGAAGAAAAATAACCCTATTTTCTGTGGTTGAGCTCTTCTGGGGAGAGGAACAGTCCTGGAAAAGGGGCACAGAGAGCAGCCCAGGCAGTGGAGAACCCGCAGTGCAGAAATGCTGCGAGGTACCAGAGGGGCGAAGCTGGGGAGGCACAAACCAGAGCGGATCGATGCTTTTCCGTGGGCGAGCCCGTGTGTCCTGCCCAGCCCTCTGCTAAAAGCAGCGCTGCGGCGGCCGAGGGGAAGGTCAGACACCGGGCAGGGCACCTTCACAGCAAGGGCAGGTGCTGGCGGAGGAGGGAGAGCTGACGCGGAGGATGTGGGTTCCAGTGTCCCCAGTGCCGGTCGCGCCGTGCCGGGGAGGATCCCGCTGTCGGTGTCCTTGGCACCATCGAGCCCCCTGCGCCGTGTTTCGCGGTGAACACTGCTCTGCACACCCGGGGGGACACGGTGGGAAACCCAAATAGCACCTGCCCTGACTGCTCCCACCAGCCTGTCCCAGGCACTCTCCCGGCCCCGGGGCAGCCCAGGGGAACAGAGGCGATTAGGAGCACAAATTAGGGACTCAGAGGAACGTATATCCCTTCCAGGGCTGTCCCAGGAGACACTCAGCCCCGCAATCCAGGTGTGAAACCTGTCGGAAAGGGGTCAACACCTGCTCACCCTTGGGACCATCAACACGGGACACACTGCGGGGCGCAGGAGAGAGCGTTCCGGGATTGCACAAGGGTTGTTGCAGGGAAATGTGGGCATCGAGGGGGTTTGGTGAGAGCAAACGTGGGGAGACTGAGGGGGGAGGCGGTGAAAGGGCCGGGGCACAGGATCAGCATTCCTATTGGGATTCTCGTCCGGCAGTGCCCGGCGCTGAGTCAGGTCTGGCTGTCCTGCCCCTCCTCCAGCCCCACTTGCAGCGCTGTCCCGAGGGGGAGTCTGTCTGTCCAGCGAGGTCGTGCGTGCCCGTGGGGCAGCACCCGGACCGATCCCGGTGCCGATCCAGCCGGACGATCCGGACGCTCCAGACGATCCGGACGCTGCGGGTGCGGGTCTCCGGGGGCGGGACCACCGGGCGTGCGGGGTCCCGGGGGCGGGGTCCGGGGCGGGTCCCAGGGCGGGGTCCCGGGGCCGTGTCCGATGAGATTCGCCCGCTGCCCCGGTGGTGGCCGCGCTCCGCTCCCGGCAGCAGGTAACGGGATCGCTGGGGGGGCAGCGTGGGGTCCCCCCGCCCTCCGAGGAGCGGGGTGGTCGCGGGGCTCCTCCAGAGGGTCGGGTCCCGCCGGGTGCCGTCGGTCCGGGCTGCGGGAGGTGCCGCCGGTGCCGCCGCCCGTCCCGCTCCCACCGGGTGTCTCTGGTGCGGGGACACGGGGTCCGTGCGCCTCTCTTCGCGCTGGGGCGATGGTTTAGCGGTTTCTGCCCGATTTTGCACCAAACGCGTGGGCGACTTTCCTTTTTGGTGCGAGGAAGCCATACGCGCGTTATCCCGCTCCCCCCAACAACAAAAGAAGCGAGCGAAACGCCCCAAAGCTCTCGGCTGTGAGATTCACAGCCAGTGATTTTGGTTTATTAACCTTAATGGCGAAAATGTTGCGTGAGACGTTTCGCCCGAGCTGAAGCAGGCGGGAGGCAGAGTCACTTTGACGTGCGGGTGTCAGGGGGACCACTGTGAGCGCCTCCATCCCCGCGGGGCAGCGGGGGAGCTCCGAAGGACAGCGGACGGGTCAGGGCTGCACCTCAGCTCCGGGGCAGTAGAGATCTGTGCCGCTTCCCAAAGCGCCCGGTTTGCCCCCTCTGTGTGTGCTCGTGTGGCTCTCCAACCACTGCAAACACACCTGCCGGCTCCCGCCCAGGTACCTGCTATGGGGTGCCTGCTGATCTCCACCTCCCGAGCGTTTTTCTGACACTCTCACAGCCTCTCTGTGTCTCCTGGTTGCAGGGGGGTTTGCCACAGCTGTGGGAAAATACCTGAAGTATCTGCTTCCAGCCAGATTTGGGGGAGACTTAACTTGCTAGTGGGATGTGTGAGATGAGGCTGAGTGGTCCAAAGAGACTGTAAGATTGGAAATATTAGGAACTCCATTAGTCATGGAGGCCTTGTCCCAGAAGAGCAGGCTCGCTGGCCCAGGAGAATCTGCAGAATTAGAGGTGGAAATGGCACTAATGTTGGATAGGAGGTTCTCAGTGAACCATAATCAGGCACTGGCATGGGCTGCCCAGGGAGGGGGTGGATTCTCTGTCCCTGGAGGTATTTGAGAAGAGACTGGATGTGGCCTTTAGTGCCATAGTCTGGTAACTGTGGTGATAGTGGATCGAGGGTTGGACTTCATGATCTCAGAGGTCCTTTCCAACTCATCTGATTCTACAATTCCATGATTTCCTTTATCCCTTTCTGTGGTGCTGTTCCCACTCCCATACAGGGTTCTCCATAGCAAGGCAGAGAGGGAGATGTTCAGAGAGCTGTTGTACAACCTGAGAAAAATCTAAGCTGGAAAATAATAGAATTCTGGATGTCTGCTGGCAGCATTTGATTTTCCCTGCATAAATTCCAGCTGACATTGCCTAGGGAGGCACCCCACCCTTACCCATTCCCTGTCTGTGAAGTGGTCCATGCAGCTCTGGCAAGACTGACGAGAAACCTCTGGGACCAGAAGGGTGGAAAGGCCAAGGCAAAGACACATGTGAGTGATTGCAGGACACAGCAAACCAAACTGTGCCCAGCCCCCTGGCCTCTCTGCCTCCCTGATTCAGCTGTCAGGAGCAGGCAGATGGCACATCTACACATGTGGTGCTGTCCTGGATTTTACTGATCCTGAGTTTCACTCCTCTAAGGTTTAGTAAATTGCCCTCTGAATTTTTGCTGAGCAATGTGCTGGCAAACAGTGCCTTGATGCTGTTCAGTGCTCTGGGCTCTGTCCTTGTGGAAAGCCAGGTGTTTCTGAAGCTGGAGAAAACCTCTGGAGCTCTTGTGAAATGTCTCTGTATGTGGCATGACATTCTTTTAAGTGCATATATTCTCCCTTTTGTTTTATTCTTCTTCTGTTGACATTTGCCAAAAGGCCAAGCCAAAGTTGTTTCCCAGCCCTTGTGCTCAGTAAAATCCAAGACACACATAGAGATCACCTGTACGGACAGGTGTGGAGGAACCTGTTGTGGTGCCAGCCCTGATCTTGGATTTTCTGCTGCACAAACAGTCCCAGGAAGGCACTGGCAATACTCCAGAGTGCTGCACTCCACAGGCACGTTGGTTGATTCCAGACCTGCCCCAGGACACAGAGGTCAGGGACAATGTGTGAAGGTCTGCACACCTTTTTTTTTTTTTTCTTTTTTTGCCCTGCCATGCAATTTGCCAATGGCATGAAAGTGTTTCTTAGAGGGTGAGCTGCTTGGTTCTGTGGTGTTGTGCAAACGGGCTGGGGAGGAGGATCCGGCCACGGGCTTGCAGGCAGCATTTTCATTCACTGTGAAAAGGAGTTGCAAGTCAGGAAAGCAGAGGGAAACATTCCTTCTCTCCTGGAAGCTCTTGTCCTGGGAGACGGAGCTGAAGGGAGGAAAGTCTTCATGCACTTCCACAGGAGTCTATTTTTAGGAGTGAAAGCTATTCAGGAGGGAAGTATTGATTTTCCTCCTTTCCACCTTGAACGTTCTGTTTATCATTTCCTTTGGTTTGTGTGTAATGCACCATGCACAGAGCTATTCTTGCCTCTCCCCTCATGCCCCGAGCCTGTCAAGGATATATGGCCTTTGCTGAAACCATTTTTATTTGGCGCCTGAAGTCTTCTCATGCTCTGCCCAGAATTTCATATTTTAAAACTAACTTTGCTCTTTTGGAGCCAGACTGTGTCTGTGTAAAACCTTGCCATTGCCAGCTGAGGGATGTGCAAGTACAGAAGAGAATCTCTCCTGCCTTCCCTGGGTTGACAAATGCTAAATTCTCCTGCAGGTTATTTTTCACTTACAGCAGCTGGAAAGTTTTCTTATTGGTGGGGGGCTTTTTTGTTTGTTTGGGTTTTGTTTTCTTGTTTGTTTTCTTTTCTTCAATTTTATTTTTTTTTTCCTGACAGTAGGTGAAAACCTGGGTTTCCCCAACGGTGTTAAAAAGCAACAGTGCTTTTTTTGGTTTGTTTTTTTTTCTGAGGTGTGGTACTGGTGGTTACTCCTTGCCTGATATTATGTAGAAGTGCTGAACATCACAGGCTTCTGGTGCAGCACAGGTTCTGTGCCTCTGACCAGGGAAGGTCAGAGGAGCTGCTCGCACTCCCCTCAGTGCTGCAGTGTTTCCTCCTGAGGCCTTGGGGGTGATCAGACAGCAGCTGACATGAGAGCCTGGGGGATAAACCGGGCTGCACGGATCTCAATCCCATTAGTGACGTCTGGCAGTGTCACACAGTGTCACCCGTGCCGTGGGGGTGCTTCCTGGGGTGCTGCTGTGAGGGGCAGGGGACTGACCCCGTGGCACGCAGGGATGCTCGTGGCCGTGGGGAGGACCCTGCTCCAGACCCACCGTGGGCAGCAGGATGAGCCCCAGCCGGGCCCGTGACCCTCGCTCAGCAGCAGCCACGTGAGTGCAGCTCCTCTCCTCAGAAACCAGCCAAACACAGCAGGCTTGTGAGATGGGACAGCCATAGCGGGGCTTTGCATTTTCTTTTCTTAATTTTCTTTTTGCATGGGATATGTTGTTTGTATGTGCACAGCCAACATCAAACATTTGTATGTGCTCAGCTGTCTCCCTAGCCGTGTCTCCAAGAACATCTTTAGAGGGTGCTGTGTGGAAAACAGGTGAGTTTCTGTTCTGTCCTCAGGTCTTGTCGGGCCTGGCTGACCTTCAAAATCTTTGCTGCAGAGGTGCCGGTTGTGCCAGAAGTGTCTTCTGGTGCAGCTCAGAGCCACAGGCTTGATTTTCTTCTGCCTTCCTGGGTAGCTAGGGACGTGCTCACCCTGTGGTAGTGTCCTGGCAGGAGTCACACCTGGAGGAGCAAACACCACCCCTTGCACCCTCGCCTCCCTCCCCTGACCTGGCTGTTAGGTGATCCCCTCCCTGGCTGTGTGAGAACCTGCTGTTCTCCTGGACCTGCACCTGCCTGGCAGGTGGCTCCAGGGACAACCACAGCTGCTGAGCTGGGGTGGCCTGGGTAGGGGCCAGCCCTGCTTCATCTCTCAGCTGCACAGTGTGAGGACGTGCCACCAGATACACAAGAGGTACAATCACAGAGCCACAGCATAGTTTGGGTTGGAAAGGACCTTTAAAGGTCATCCAATCCAACTATGGGCAGGGACACCTTCCACTATCCCAGGTTGCTCTAAGCCTCATCCAACCTGACCTTGAACACTTCCAGGGAGGGGGCAGCCGCAGCTTCTCTGGGCAGTCTGTGCCAGGGCCTCACCACCCTCACTGTGAAAAGTTTTTTGCTTATATCTTGTCTGAATCTGCCCTCTTTTAGTTTAAAACCATCATCCCTAGTTCTGTCACTACAGGCCATGCTAAAAAATCTGTCCCTGTCTTTCTTGTAAGCCCCTTGAGACACTGGAAGGGGCTCTAAGGTCTCCCTGGCACATTCTCTTCTCCAGGCTCAACAACCCTTACTCTCTCAGCCTTCCCTTGTAGAAGAGGTGCTCCAGCCCTGTGGCTGTCTTTGTGACCGTCCTCTGGACCTGATTCCACAGCTCCATGTCCTTCTGCTGTTGTTTCCCAAAGCTGGAGGCAGCTCTGCAGGGGGGTCTCCCTGCACAATCCCCCCTGCCCTGCTGCCCACGCTGTAGGATCAGCCCAGGGCACGGGGGTGTCTGGGCTGGGCCATGTCCAGCACCCCCAGGCCCTTCTCCCCAGGGCTGCTCTCAGTGCCGTTGAACTCGCTGCTGATGGGCATCCATTCCAAGAAGCATTTGGACAGATGCTTCCAGGAGCCCAGAGGAGTGAAGATGACTTCACTTACAGTTGGACGATGTCTGGGGTTTTACAGCAGGTTATGGCTAATTCTGATCACACAGTTCTATGTCAGCAGGTGCAGGAAGCCTCCTGGTCCCCACTGCTGCTCCTGCTGCCGTGTTCTGGTGGTAGCCAACGCTTTACACCAAAGATGTAATGTCAAAAGTATTGGTAAAACTTTTGCCTTCAGAAAACTTGAGTTTGATGAATTAATACTTTATGTGAAAATTTTAAATATTCTCCTTGAAAGTGGGCTTGTTTTTTTTCTGCTGGCCAGGTCTGTGCTGTGCATGTCCTGACACACCTGCTGGTTGTGCTGCGCTGTGGCTGCACACCCTGAGGTGGGCCCTGCCCTTCAGGTCTGTGTTGCTTCTGAAAACCAGAGCCACCAGCCTGGGTTCCCTCCAAGACAAGCTCTCTGGAAGGGTCAGTTGGTCATGAAAATAAAGCCCTGTTGAGTCACAGCTCCCTCTGGCAGACCTGAAGGATCTGTGTATCAGGATCCCAGCCCAAGCTGCTTAGTGACACACTCAAGGGCTTGGCTCAGAAATAGCTGCACAAGGGCACCTGGGAGTAGGGCCTGGGTTGAAGCTGCCACTGGACATCCTGGAAGGGGAGAGGTGCCAGCTGTGGTGCCAGAACACCATGGGAAACAAAGCTGCTCCTGGTGTTGTGCACTTTTTTGTGGAAATAGTACCTGGCCAAACTGCCTCTCCTAAGGCACCTGTTGTGTGGCTCAAACATTCCTGTTTACTGAAAGCACAGTGTGGGGTTTTTTCCTTAGTATTCCATTTGTCTTTTAGGCTTTTCCTCCTTGTTCTACAGGTTAAGAGACTTTCTCTGGAAATTCTGTTTTGTGAAGCCCAGATAGAGAAGTCTGCCCTGTGTGCAGAGCAGCAAAGGAAGGGGGAAGGGGTGGGAGGTGGAGCTGCAGATGTAGGTGGTGAGGAAGTGGTGGAGAAGGATTGTTCTCTCCATCAGTGCATCAGCAGCTGAAGCCTGAGGCTTCCAGGCATTCAGACAGGGAGCTCTGGGAGGAAGGAGCTGCTGTGGGCACGGCCTTCCCCGTGGCTCAGAGGGATCATCAGGTGTCTGGGGGGAGTGGGAAAGCCATTTTGTGCTGCCAAGGAGAGAGGTGAGGTCCAAGCCAATAGACAGTGCAGCTACTGCTGCATGGGTGTCATGGACAGTGAAACCCCAGGGCTGAGAGGGGACACACCGAGCAGGGACTGTGTCTGCTCAGGACACAGCCTGTGTGTGTGTTCCAGGCTGCAGAACTGCTGTGCTTCTGCTCCTTCTGTGGTCACTTCCCAGTCACCCTCTGGAAAGAGGTCAGATTTCCCACCCTACAAGCTCTGACTTCCTCTGAAAACACAGCTGGATCACAAGGGTCCCTGTTTTCTATTTGGAGAAGCTTCTCAGGAGCAGATACAGGAGCCATGTGGCTGAAGGAGCAGTTTGAATTGTGTTGTAAGAAAGCAAGCCCAGAGAGTGCCCAGAGCAAGAACTGCTGAAGGGCTGAATTTCCTCTGTGTTTTCTGCACAGGCAGGGAGCAAAACAGGCCAGAGTGGCTCCTTGGGAGGCAGAGAAAGATTGGCAAATGTGGGTCCTGCCCTCCCTTCCTTCTTAGAAAAAGTGACCTGGGGGAGCACTGTGCCCTGGGAGAGTGCTGAGGGAACAGGTCCAGTTTCTGTCGAGACAAAATGTTTTTTGCCTGATTTCTCTGAGCTTCCAGTTATCTTTACTGTTCAGAAATTAACTTACTGATATTTCTGCTACAGCAGAGCCTCTGCCATGGACCAGCAACCTGGTGTGCCAGTGTGACAGAGAATGCCCCCGAGGTGCCAGGAGAAGACACAAGGGAGGAGCGTGGGACGTGCAGATCTCCGAGGCTGAGCAGAAGACACAGTGTGAAAGGTGGATATAACAGAGAAACACAAGGAGCTGATAACCCTCGTGACTTCTGGCGGATGCAGGCATATTTTGTATCGTTTTGTGTTGGGTTCTCTCGCAGCCCACAGTTCTTCCCAGGGTCTGAACTCAGAGTAACAGCAGTGGTACGTGGCTGCAGAGGCTCCCTGTGCCTTGGAAGGTGCAGTGTTGGAGTGTACAGTTACCACTGCAGTTTGCATTTACAAATGTCAAACCAGTTTTCTGGTTTGACAGAAGGCTCCTGGTCTGGCAGGTTCGGTTTGGGGGCTGAAAGCCAACCTAAGTTTTTACATCTCCCAGAGAAGATCCTGGATCCATGAAATCCATGGAAAAAGAATACAGAGGGTCCCATTCACTATGAGTTGCTCACTACCCACAGACAACCAAAAGCACCAGGCAGGGGAGGCTGGGTGGGCAGGGCAATCAGTGAGTGTCGACAGGTGTTGTCCCCTGTTAAAGCTCATGGTCTTCCCAAGGTTTTGAATTACAAAAGACTTGTGTGTTGGTGTTGGTAACTCTGAACTGGTGTCCAGAAGATTCCCTTGGTCTCTTGTCTTTCTGTTTTCCTGTGATTTCTGTCACTTTCAGGTAAATGGAAGATTTGGAGACCAGCCTAATCCAGACACGAAAAGCATGTAGAATAGAGCAAATGGTATCCAAATGGCTTCATCGCTCTCGAGACAGTGCACCCAGGCAAGTGTGGGGTTTGTGAAAGGAATCTCTGTGATCACCTTCCATCAGAGACAGCACAGGGCTGTTCTCAATGAACAGGGGCTGGCACAGGCTCAGATCATAGTTATTGCTTCTGTTGCTCTTGGGAAATACGGGTACAATAGTCTCTAGAAAAATGAAAACAACAGTGGTTTTAAGCAATCCATTGGTTTCCAGGGAACGATGTTCCTGCTTTCCTCCCTCACAGTTTTGTGAGGGAGAAACACAGCACTGCTCCATGCAAAACTTGCTCTTCTTGGAGGTGGGGTCCTGTTTGTCTTAGTCTCTTACGAAGGGCCCGCGTTTTTGGGCAAGACTGGGTTGCACTGACCAGAGATCCTGGTCCATGGCTGCTTTCCTTCCCTGAGGTCTGAGAATCAGCATTAGGCTGATCCCAGCAGGGGCTGAGGGCTGGACATTCTCTCGCTGCCTTGCTGGGGGAAGGTGCTGCTGTTACCTGTGGACGGAGGCAGTGGAGCTCTCTCTCCATGAGACCATGGGCTGGGATGACTGAGAAGCTGTAGTGACAGCCCCTCTGATGTCCTCAGCTTTCTCCAGACCCTGGGGAGTTGCTGTTGGCTGTGTGGGGCAGAGCCGGGGACCCGGGCAGTGCTGTCCTTGCCGTGCAGCATTGTGTCCCATGGACAGCAGGGCTATGTGTGGATCCAGGCCCTTGGACAGGGTGTCTCTGGCTCTATCCTTGTGTAACGGTGGATTCTGATCCCTCAGGGGCAGCGTGCCGGCCATGGACAGCGCCGGGGACAGCGTGGTCCCCCCCGCCAGCCGGGTAAAGCTCACAGTCACCGTGTACAGGGACCTGGTCCTGCAGCACTACGGCTTTGAGATCTGCCCCACCCTGCCCCTGACCATCGCGTCCGTCACTGCGGGTGAGCGCCGGGCTCCTCCCCAGGGCGCGGCTCTGGGAGCCCGCCGTGGCCCCGGGGCCCTGGTGATGAACTCCTGACAGATGTTTGTGGGTTTTGAGGTACCTGTTTGGTGTGTGACCCTCGGACACTGCAGGCTGGGTGTCTGTGGCACACAGAGTGCTCAGGCATCTCCGAGCTGGGACGGCGCAGAGCCCAGAGCAGGGTCCCCGTGGGTCCTCACTCACTGCTGACCTTCGTGGTGCAGAGAGCAACGTTCTTCCTGGTGTTTCCTCTGGGATGCAGAGGAAGAATTGCATCTAATCGTAGAGAATTTAATTTTATTCTGCTGTGGCCCTGGTGATCTGTTGCTGAGCAGAGCCTGGGCTGCCAGCCCTGTAACATGGAGAGTTTCACTGCTGAAGTCACGCAGATCTTCTCCTCCAGCTATAGAAGGGAGAGATGCTTTTAAGGTGGCCCGAGGGTTTTGAGTCAAAAACTGAATCTATTTCTTATTTACTATTCTTTTTTTTTAATAGGTGCACAGAAACACCTGGTTTCTACCTGTTATTGTGAGTGTGGCAGAGAGAGACACTGTGCCCACTGCCTAGGGCGTAGCTGGGGCTCTTCTTGTGGCCATCTATGTGGGCTGGAGGATGTCCCTCTGTCACCTCCCCCTTCTCTTCCCATCAGGAAGAATAAACATTTTACTAAAACTGAGGCACAAAGAACCACTCCCTTGCTGTGGGAGCCCACAGCTACAAGGCCTGTGTTTGTTTGGGTTGTGTGGTGGGCTGTGACAAGGGCACAGATGCACACAGGAGTGGTTTTCCATGGGGCAAAGGGAAGTCTGGGTGGGAGGCACAGACACAAGCAGGGGCACACAGGCTGGCATCAGTGCCCAGTGTCTTCCAACCCCTTTTATTTTGCCATCCAGACACAATTGCTGAGGGAAGCAAGTGCTGGAAGGGAAGAGGAGCTCACAGTGAGCATCTCTGGGCATCCCTAGTGTAGATGTGGCACTTGTGGACACTGATAGTGGTGGACCTGGCAGTGCTGAGTTAACAGTTGGACTCAGGGGACTTTTCCAGCCTAAGTGATCCCGTGATTCCCTGGTGGGAGGAGGTCTCCTGACTGACAGTGTGCCGGTTTCCTGCAGGCAGCACTGCCGAGGGGAAGCTGCAGCCAGGTGACCAGCTCCTCCGGATCAACTCCAGGGCAGTGGAGGACCTGTCTGTGGAACGAGCTGCCAGCATCATCAGGTGTGGCCTCACCCCCACGCCCGGCTGGGACAGAGGGCCTGGGGGGACAGCTGCTGACCGTGTGTCTGTCGCAGGGATGCCGGCGATGAGCTGCTCCTGACTGTCCTGCGCTGCACGTCTGTAAGTGGCCTCTCCTCGGCTCTCTGGGCACCCCTTGGCGTGGCCACAGCCACGGGGCAGCTGGGATGCCCCCCACCCCAAGGGCCTCCTGATCCCCCACTGGGGGATGCGGGCGGGTCATGTCATGTCCTCCTGGGCACAACGGGAGGTGCTGAGACAGCAGGCTCAGCATCCGCCCTTGGTGCTCCTTGGAAGCTCATGAGCTTTTCCTTCTGACTGCTGGAAAAACTCATCCCTTGTTCCCCGGGCTCTGTCTAGTGAAGGGCTGGGACCCAGGCATGGATTGTGCTTTGGGAACACAAGCAAAGTCATACTGCAAAGTTTTAGTGCTGATTACCCATCTCTGCTACAGAGATTTCCCCAGAAGGCACTTGATGCTGGCAGGATGTATTGTTATCCACGTGGAATTCACTGTGTGTAGAGGCTGAGTTGCAAAGCAAAGACAAAATTTGGTTTGTGGGCTTCTTGTGACGTGTGAAAGTGGCCTGAGTGGGATTCCATCCAGACCATCTCCTTTCTTCCATCCCCAGCACCTGAAAATATTTCTGGAGTGTTTCTCATTTGTTGAAGGTTTTTTAGTTTTTTTATTTTGTTTATTCCTAAAACAAGAGCGATGTTTCCTTCAGAAGTTACTGGAACTGTCAGGCTTGAGATTTCGTGGCTCTTAAGGAAGAGTACCTGAAAGAGAAAATCTCAAATATTTTTCCCACCCAAAGCTTCCCAGGTGTAGGCATTCAGTCATGCACAAAGCCAAAGCAACCAGAAAAACTTTAGGCAAACCCACTGAACAGTGGCTTCCCTTTCCATTAATCTCCTCTCATCTCCTGTGCCCAGTGCATCGGCTGTTGCTCTGCCCAGCCCTGATCTGACTCTGAAGATCAAGGAAAAAAATGGAGTTGGTGATGCAAGACCTGAATGCCTGCCCAAAGAGGCAAAATGCAATGGCTTTTCAGAGAGAAAAGGGTTTGGAAAACCTTCATGGGATTTGGAATGCCCTTCACAGGCCCTCAGACACTGTTGAGAAGCAAGTGGGGCACAAGACCATATCTGTTCTTTCATTTTCAAGTCACTTTAAGGACATCTCCAAACACAGCCACATCTCATGCAGGGTTTGAGGGTGACTCTTGCTGTGCTCTAAAGGCAGCTCAGAGCCAAGAGGTAACACCTCCCACCACCAGGTCCCAGACCCTCTGCAGGGCTGGGATTTGGGAGGCCGTGACTCTCTCAGGGCAGTTGCTGGGCATTGTGCTCTGCACACGTATTGGTTTAGGTGTAGCCCCACTGCAGACTGGTGCCTCCTGGCAGACTCACAGTCATTCTGGGTGCCCTGGCTTCACTGCAGGAGGTGTGGAGGTGACTGAGCACAGCAGCTGGTTCCCACGCAGTGAAATTGGGAGTGTGAGTGGCATATGTGTCCCTTGCTGGGCAGCCAGGTTTGGGCTCAGCAGCTGCCCAGGCAGGTGAAAAGGGCCCGGGGCAAGGCTGGGAGCTGAGAGCCTCCCCAGCTCTCTGTCTGTGGCCTTGAGACAGCACAGCAGCAGCAGCTCCAGGGCAGGGCTGACCATGTGCCCTGCCCATGTGGGGGCTCTGCTCCTGCCCGAGGCTGCTGCCCTGACCCACCACCACTGTTGTTGCAGGGTGGACCCAAGTCATCGTTCCTCACTGAGGAGAAGAGAGCGAGGCTGAAGACAAACCCCGTCAAAGTGCGGTTTGCGGAGGAGGTGCTGCTGAACGGGCACTCGCAGGTCAGGGGGGTCTCTCTGGGTGGGGGGTCCCAGGCTGGGGTTTTGTGGCTGGGACTCACTCTGTTGGTTGCCCTGGGCATGATCCAGGCACCTGCTTCCAACAGCTCCCAAGGCAATCGAAGGGAAGCCCTGGCATCTCTGGAGGAGTTTGTGTTTGAGCTGCTCACTTGGACTAATATAAAACACCTGCGTGCACTATTTCTGTCCCATCCCACCATCACACCCTAAACCATCACTTCACAGCTGCAGGAGGCAGTTGTCATCTCTTGAGGTGCTAATCCATCTGTGGTGAACCCACACTGAGTTTTGGCCATGACAAATGCTGATCCTGAGGATGGCAGGTGAATGCTGATGTGCGTGCCAGGTTTATGTGCTGCTGGAGTAGCTGGGCTGTCACCTGCTGGGGTGTCCCCTCCTGAGGACGGGTCACACTGTGATCAGAGGGTTTGGTGCTGGTGACTTTGCTGTTAGGTGTGACACGTGTTCTTGAGCTGCTAGGGTGGAGGTTTGTTGACTTACCCCTGCTGAGGGTTTCCTCAGAGCATCCTCAGCTGCCTCTGTGTCTGACCCTCTTTAAGGTGGACCAGGTCACAGCTTCCTGGAGGGTACTGAAAACACATGATGGAGTTCCTAGTGCTGGTAGGAGACAAACTGGGTCGATATGGGTCAGCCTGTGTGGGTCTGCCTGTAGCAGAAGTGAGAACACTTGTAGCTTCTCCAAAGTGTGAACAGCCCCCAAATGTTTCCTTTTTCTTTCTGTGTAACTAAATTAACTCAGTGGAGTGGACTGGGCTCAGTCCGGAGTCATTAACTCTGTTTTCTTTTTTCCCTTCAGAATGAAAAAATTCAGTGGTCAAAATGCCCCACTCACATCCCTGCTCATTAGTCCTATTCAGTCGTCCAGGTCTGACCAAATCTTGCTTATTTGCAGTGATGATGAAGCACCCACTTGTCCCTTTTCCTCTTCCCTTTCTTTCACCCTGTTGCCAGGTGTGCTGGTGCTGCTGCCAGGCTCATCCCTGCCCTTCCAAGGGCTGTGTTCATATCCCACAGGTGTTGATGGCAAGTGTCTGGTGTCCTGCCTGTGTGATGTGGTGGTGTGACCACTCTCCCTGACACAGAATTCAGGTTCTAGACCTCTCATGTGCCTGGAGATGTGACAGAGGCCATCAAGCTTGCCAGGCATGGAAGGTCGAAGGAGAGGACATGCTCTGGAAGTGGGCCCAGGCAGAGAGGACTGAGAAGTTGGGCAGGATTGGTTGTGGAATACAGGCAGACCTGGAATTGCCAGCAGTCCCTACTTTTCTTATAGCTGGGAGTTCACACCAGTATCTCCTGGAGCTTCAGTGGAGCTGTGTCAGGCAGAGGCTGGGCACTGGTGTCACAGTCCATGGAGGTCTAAGATCCCTTCCAGTCACTTAGTGATTGCAAGGTGGGTCTCAAGGGATCTGGAGAAAGGTCTTGAAAGGTCCAAAGAAGGCAATTCTGGAGGGGATGCTGCACTTTGTGCCCCCCTGCCCTGCAAGCCTATGTCAGCATCTGCTGAGTTAATCATACCTCTGCAAGTGCAGAGGAGGGACACAATCAATGTGTAGTTTGTCATTCATTTACTGAGAGTATAATGGCAGGAGAAGTTCATTCGGGCGCTGAGGTCCCACTGGCTTCCCTTTTCACCAGCTGAATAGGTTTGGATATGTTGGATCCCTGTTTGGAGTAGTAAAGTATTAGCACAGAGGAAGAGTAAATAAATTTGTTGCATATTTATGACTTCTTTCTGGAAAAACACTATCCACCACAGCAACCCTGAGTGCTTTAGGCTTGCTCTCTCTTCTGTGGGCTGATGTACTAAGGCAGCCAAAATGGGTATTATGGCTGTGAAAAACTGCACAGCCTCCTGTTTCAGTAAATATACTGCTCTTGTCATCCTAATGGAGCATGGCTAAGTGATCCTTGTGGCGACGGGAAGGATCCCAGCGGCTGCCTTCTGCAGCTGAAACCTGAAACCCTGGGTTGGGAACATAAATTGTTGATGAGCCTCAGTGCTGTCCAGCCCCTGCTTTCTGTGGACTGATGATGTATTTCCATATCCCTGAGCAATATACAGGAGGCAGGTCCCTCAGGACCCTCGGGTCAGCCCCAGGCAGTGTGTTATTGGCAGCTGGAACTTGGGGTAAATCAGCCTTACCCCAGGCAGGTTGGGTACTGATGCTGATGGGTACTGATGACGCTGAAGCTTTTGGGGTTAATTTGTAGTAGCTTCTGACAGCCTGCACAAATGGAGAGAAACACTACCTGGGTGTTCTGGCCGGAAAATTGGAAGAGTGCTGAAAATTTGTGCATGAATCTCTGAACAAATGTAAGTTTTGCTGTGTAAGGCCCGCTGTATGTGATAGCTGTGGCCATGGGAGCTCCCAGAAGAAAGGCACAGATGGTGTAAAAATGCATCAGTTTCCTGGAACTGATGGAGGACCCACAGCCTGTCAAAGATGTGTTCGTGCTGTTTAGCACAGAGGAGCTGGATCTTGGGATTGGGAATACCAACACTGTTCTCTCTTTTCTTTTTCAGTGGTGACTGTAGAGACTTGAACCCCACAAAATGAGGAGGGGAGAATAAGGAAGGAGATTCAGAAGTGGTTTATCTTTGCTCTGGCAGCACATCCAGGGTGTGTGGGCTCTCTATTGGGAGGGACCAAGGATGTGAGATTTGTAACATAGGCACAGCAAATGAAACACAAGAGAAATTATCTTAGATACACCATTCTTAACCTCGAGACTGTTACAGTAAGTCAATGAACCCTTTAAGACTGGAGGAACATGCTGGTCCAAGGACGTGAGAAAGACATGCTGAATAGGAAGTCCAAGGGCAGAGGAGTAAAACTCCTCAGTACTGAACAGTAACAGGAACAATGCTGGGAACAGAGGGAAAGGTGCAGATGACCTCTGCAGAGTGAGGTGGAGGGCTGAAAGGTGAAGCTCCAGGCAACCCCAGGAGGACGGAGGCCAAGTCCCCAGACCCTTCCCTGAGAACCCAGCAGAGGTGCTCTTGCTGTGGGTGTCCTTGCCCTGTCCCACGCTTTGGGACCTACCCCAGGACATACTGGTGACATCATCTGCTGTTTAGGAAGACCCAGGGTCACAGATCTCAGGGGGATGCTCAATGACAGTGGCACTGTGTGTTTGTCTGAGTCCCACAGCCTTCTCTTGGTTGTGGGAGAGTGGAGGGCGTGGGCAGTGTCCAGGGTGAAGCTGTGGCTGCTGCTGGTGGGATGGTGGTCAGCGTGGGCTCTGTGCTGCCTGGTGCTGGGAGATGGGAAGGTGCCTTTTCTGTCAGGCACCACTGCTTCTCAATAAAGAGCAAGGAGGATGACTGTCCACTTTCAGTGCCTGCTGGGTCCTCCTGTGCCGTGTGGGAACCCCAGAGCATGCCTGGCCACGTGCAGCGGTGGGATGGGCTGGAGTGTTACGGTAAAGCCATTTGCTGTGCTCTCCTTCCCTCATTCCATGCCAGAAGGGTAATCAGGAATAAAGGCTGATGCCATGGAAGAGTGCTGCCAAGGCAGAGAAGGGTTTTCCTGGATGCCAGGACTTGCCGTGCCAGGCAGAGCCGCTGGTGCCCGAGGGTCCAGCTGCTGCTTTTGTCCTGCAGGGGAGCTCCCTCCTGTGCATGCCCAACGTTCTCAAGGTGTACCTGGAGAACGGACAGACGAAGGCGTTCAGGTTCGAGAGGAGCACCACTGTGAAGGTAACAGTGCTTGGCTGGCTGTTCCCACCACCCCAATCCAACCCACCGACAAAGGTGCATGCAGGGCACTTGCAGCGTTCGGGTTGCGCTGAGGGGCTGGAAGGGGATTTTTGGCTGGTGCTGGGCACACTGGGTTTTCCATGTTTCAGCCTCATTTCTGCACTGGTGACAATGCTCCCCTGTGGAGGTGTGAAAGCTGATTAAACCCTTCAGGTGACAGAGCAGCATCCGGGGAATGATCCTCCTGAATGAAGAGTGATCTTCCCTCGGATCTCTTCCACTTGTTGCCATCATTCCCCTCAAAGGGTGGTGCTGCTCCCCGGAGCCACTGATCCAGCCCTTTCCATAACTGCTGTGCTTAGACGTAGGATTGCACACTTCCACTTTTTCTAGCCTGATCTTTAGAGCTGCCCAGTGTTTGTGCTGGAATTAACAAGATTTGCCCATGCCTGGGAAGATACATGTTGTCCTGAGGCACCTCTCTCAATGTGGGAGAGACACGTGATGGACACATGTTCTGGGGTTACCAGGCTGAGAGAATGTTAAGGGGAAAGGCAAAGAACTTCTATTTATCATGCAGCAAAAACTTTCCTTAAAAAGGAGGAGTTTATTGTCTAGTTTATCCAAGCCTCAGAAAACCATCCTGGTCTCTCAGGTAGAGTAAAGGTCTACTTACAAGGCAGAGAAAAAGAAAATGGTGAAAGAAAACAAGGAGGTGGTAAGGAATGGGGAGGTCAGTTGTAAAGAGAGGTTTGAATGCCCACCCACAAGGATTTAATTTCTAAAGGATGGATTAGCTCTACATCTTTGTCTTGAGTTTCTCAGCTCTGACCTGGGACAAGTTTTTCCAGCTTTTCAGTGCAGCTCTCCAGAAACACCCAAATGGGTAAAATCTTCCCAAGTTAGGTGTTTCCAAAAATTCCTCTGCTACTTGAGAGATCCTGGCTTAAAGCTGAGTCAAACATCAAGAGGCTTGGTTGAGCCCGAGGGCTTCTGTTTCAATCTGTGCTCAGTCAAGCCTTATGTGTTGTTTTCTGTTTGCCAAAAATAAACCTCTTTATTTTCATAACAGTATTCTGACAGAATTCTCCATTAAAACTGAAGCACCAGTTTCAGTCAAATTTGGCAAGATTTTTACAATTATGCTCTCAAATTCTTGTTTAGTGGAGGGAAGAAATGTTTTCCATCAGTTCCTTGTAGTTTTTCCACAAATCATAGAATCCCAGAATGGTTTGGGTTGGAAGGAACCTTAAAGTGCATCCAGTTCCAACCCCCTGCCATGGGTAGGGACACCGGGTTGCTCCAAGCCCTGTCCAGGCTGGCCTTGTGCTCCTCCAGGATTATGGCACCCATGTCCAAGAGCTTTAGAGTTTTAGAAAGCTGGAATAGTGAACAGGAAACACTTGGACCAAGGGTGACAAAAGTGCTCAACAACACCCAACTGAAAACTATAAAACCCTTGAGTGCAAGGCAGCTCAGGACAGGCAGCTCCAGGAAATGGGTTTGATGCCTGTGACACCTTGGAGTTTTCATGTTGCTGGACTCTTACCATGGCAAGGTGCAGCTTCCCTGCGTTGTCTGCCCGACATGCTGGGGTGTTCTGTGCTCTGTTTGTCCGTGCCTCCCGTGCTCCTCTGCAGCTCCGCAGGCTGGAGTCACACAGTGACATCCTCGTGTGTCTGAGCTCTGTGTGACCCCTGTGCCCCTGCCCAGGACATCGTGCTGACCCTGCAGGAGAAGCTGTCCATCCGCAGCATCGCCCACTTCGCCCTCGTGCTGGAGGAGCAGTACAACCTGGCCAATATTCACCTGCTGCATGAGGAGGAGCTCATTGCAGAGGTAGGTGTGTCCCACAGGTCCTGCAGGGGGGCTCTGACACCCAGGAGCAGAGGCCAGAGAGGGGCAGAGAGAGCCCAGTGCTGTGGGTGTCACCAGAGGGGTGAGCCCAGCCCTGTCCCCGGCCTTATCATCCCCTTCTGCCATGGCCTTCATCCATATCCCTGGAGACACGGCACTTTTGGGAGTGTCTCGCCCTGGCTGGAGACCCTGCAGAGCAGTACCCGTGGCCTGATGTTGCTTGGACTGTGTAGAGCAGTCGTGGATCACATCCTTTGTGCCACCTCTCTCGCGGGCCCATCCACAAAGGAGTGTCTGAGCCTTAAAGCAGCCTTTAGTCAGCTGTGCACCACCTCGCTATTTGCACCCACCCAGCCAGGGGCCACTTTGATTAAATTCTGCCTCAGTAGCTGGTGTCCTGTCAACATGAGGTGAGCTCGTTTAATTCTGCTGCTCTGCAAGTAATGCTGGGCTCATCCAATTTGTGAGGACGTGCCTGCTCAGGTGTCACAGCTGTGCTGAGGTGTGTGTTGGTTGATGACCTGTCGTGCTGCAGAGGTGTTCATGGCATCATACATAGAATATCCTGAGCTGGGGAGGACCCACAAGGAACACTGAGTTCAAGTCCCTTGGTGCTGACACTGTCAGACCACTGAGCACACGTGCCTGAGGATTTCTGCTGTGCAGGATATGCCCAGAATAAAATATGCTGATGTATAACTCAGTCTTGACACCACAGTGATGATTCAGGGGTCTGTTTAGGACTGCTGTGCCTTGTGTCTGAGCTCCAAAGCAGAGCAGTTTGCCCCTTCTCCTGCTGTTATTCCATGGACCCAAAGCCTATGAGAGCAGTGGGTATTTGATGAAGTGTTGCTGTCAAAGGGCTTCCAAGCTACTGCAGGGAGAAGCAAAAACCAGTAAAGAATCAGAGAGAGAATTACAAGCACTAGCAAAGTCTCTTTGTGCTTGCTAAGGACAATCTGCACCATCCCCTTGCCAGCAGCTTTAAGTGATTCCTGTGGTTGCTCACCGTGCAGTCAGGGAGGGAGGGGCTGTGGTGTGATGCCCTGTGTCTGTTGCAGGTTGTACAGAAAAGAGAATCTCATGACTACCGGTGCCTCTTCAGAGTGTGCTTTTTCCCCAAGGACCCCTTGGACCTCCTGCAGGAAGACCCAGTGGCCTTTGAATATCTGTACCTACAGGTGACACAGGGGTGTTCCGTGCTTCGGAACCCCTTCCCACCCCATTCTCCTTCCTGCTTTAAACCACAGTGTGCCTCAGCTACATGGACGTGGAATGCAGAACACTTCAAATTAGAGCATTTCAATTTAATTTGCCCTAAATTCTTGAATCAATTGGTATGGTTGCCTGGTGGCACCCTTAATTGGACGCATGGTGTCACGTCAGCGGTCTCATCCTGACTTCTTCCTGAGCTAACTCTGCTCTCTTTGCTCCAGAGCTGCAGTGATGTGCTCCAGGAAAGGTTTGCTGTGGAAATGAAGTGCAGCCTGGCGTTACGTCTGGCTGCTCTGCACATCCAGGAGAGGATCTACGCATGTGCTCAGGCACAGAAAGTGTCCTTGAAATACATTGAGTAAGTTCACACATTTCTGTGTTCTGTTCTGTTCTGTGACTAAGCCTGGAGAAAGAAGGAGCCACCTAAAAGTGGCATCAGCTCAGTGTTTTCCTGGTGTTTGGCCCTGGATAGGAGACTGTCTGTGATGCAAAGGGACTGCAGCTTCTCTGTTGTGCTGGTTATTTTAGGGTAGGGTCACCTCATGGGTCTCCCTTTCCTTAGCCTGCTGAAGTACTTGAACAGTGAACACCTGGGCATGTCCCAAGACAGAGGGAGGTTCTGATCTGTCACTGGAGCAGGGACTCAAAATTGCAGATCTCTCACGCAGTGATGATTACCCAAGCTGCTCCTGCCAGTATTGATTGCAGTAGCTCGAGAGAGAGGAGATAATCACCAGCTTTGCACAGCCAGCACATCTCTTCATTCACCAGAACCATGCCAGAACTACCCACTTTGGGCAAAAGGGATAGATCCTGTGACTTAATGGAATCTGGGGGGAAATGACCAAGGAGCAGGTGTGCTGTGCTTCAGGTCAGTGCTGTTAGGTTGTTTCTGCCAAAGAGAATCCCCCACTTTAGGAGCTGGTGACGAGCCAGTTGTTAATCAACAGACACCGGTGTGATGACTCACTGTGCTGCCAGATGTGCCCAGCTGTGTGCAGGGAGCAGAGGGCAGCTGCAGTGCTCCTACCTCCTGGGTAGGTAGTGCTTGGGCTCCATAAACTCCCCAGCAGCACACGTGGCTCATGTTTTTGGGTCCAGGGATCTGAAATGTCATAATCTTGCCATCAAGGTAAGGTGAGTGCAAGGACAGAACCTCTATCCTCTGGGTCACGAGGGGAGGTTGGGACTGTCCTGCTGACAAAGCTTACGAATTAACTTCTGTAAAAGCATGTGAAAACAGGCATTCTGCATGGCAGTGTACATTCTCCAGCCCCTCTCCTGACCTGGGGGCAGGTGCAGACAGCAGAGAATTTGAGTGGCGAGGCTGCCGGGTGTGTTACAGCCCCACGAGGCTGTGAGGTGCCTTTGCCCTGTGCTGTGATGCTGGGGGTCAGAATGGCCAGGGCCCCCTGTGCTCCCTTCCCCTCTCTCTGGCAGGAGGGACTGGGGAATCGAAAACTTCATCTCTCCCACCCTGCTTCGAAACATGAGGGGGAAGGACATCAAGAAAGCCATCAGCTACCACCTGAAGCGGAACCAGCTGCTGCTGGACCCTCGGCAGAAGGTAGCGTGTCACCCCCAGGTCATGGCACCTCCCAGGATGGCAGCAGTGTCTCTTGGGGCCAAAGAGGGAGTGTCTCTCCTCTGCGGGTCTCCTCCCTGTGCAACACTTGGGGCTTTTCTCCTGCCTTTCCCTCGTCTGTGCCCACACTCCCTGATTTCCCTGCGTTGTGTGTCCTGCTGCAGTTTGCTCTGGGATGCCCAGTGGGCCATGTGGGATGGTCCTGGACACCCCTGTGGCCTGTCCAAACTGAGATGACTGTGTTGGTCAGATGCACAGTCCTGCATGAAAGTCTTCCAGCCTGCAGTACCTGTTTCTAAATGATGTTTCTTCTCTTGGCAAACGAAGCACCAGCTCACAGCAACCCAGGTGCGCCTGAGCTACCTGCAGATCCTGGGAGAGCTGAAGATGTATGGTGGGAAGATCTTCAACGCCAGCATGATGGTACAAGCTGTTCATTTATGTAATTGGCTTTGGTGTGCTGCCCTGCTGGTCACACTGCTTCTCCCTGTCCTGAGATATCATGGCACATGTTGGTCAGGGGCCCTGCTGGGGAAACTCAGCATAGTCCCGTTAAAGTGGATAACAGACCAGCCTACGTGATAGTTACGCACAAAAATTCTAATTGAAAGCTGTGACTCTTGCTCTTCAAACGAGTCCTGTCTCTATTTTGTGTGCTGTAAAGTATTCAAAAAATCTGGGAAGGCTTCAAAAACTCTTTAAAAAACACTAGAAAGACTTAAACCTCACAGTGAAAAAGAACTCTCTTCACAAGAGGTTTCTTTAACCTCTGCCCCTACAGCTGCAGGACAGGCAGTCACACTTGGCACTGCTGGTGGGTGCCAAACATGGGGTGAGCCAGATCATCAACAGCAAGCTCAACATCATCACGAACCTGGCCGAGTTCCCCAGCATCAGCAGGGTGGAGCTCAGCAAGGAGTCCGAGAAAGTCAGCGCTGTCAAGATCTACCTGCAGGACCTGAAGGTGAGTGGCTCTGCCATGACGGGACAGAGGGTGTGGGAGGAGTCACTCACACCACCTTCTCAAAATCTTACACTGGGCCGAAGGTGTGACCAACACAAAGGGTTTAGGACAGACTTGGGAGAGAAAGCTCAGAGGAAGAACAAAAAAAATTACAGGAGAAAAGTGATTCTTCTTGCTCTCCTCCATCAGAGGCACAAAAGCCAAAAAACCCGAATAGATTTCTCTTCTTTGTGCCTCCTGCAAAAGCAGACTGAGGGGGATATGGGAGAGAGTGGACGCCTTGCCATTGTGTAGCATGTTCCTGCAGACTGTGGTAAAAATATTTGTTTATTTTAACATTTTCTCTTTTCTCCCCACCCCAAACTCCAAAACAAATAAAACAGGTGCTGACTCTGCTACTGGAATCAAACAGTGCAAAGGATCTCGTCTGCCTTATTATCGGCTACTACAGACTCTTTGTGGATGCAAACACCTCCATATTTACGTGGGGAGACAAAAAACAGCAGCTGCACCGTGTCTCAGCTGAAGAAGGTTTTTAAAGAAGCAGCCTTTTTTTTGCCAAAGGATGGGGAGGCAGTGGGTGGATCTCCCAGCACTGGAGGCGTTATTCCCTCCTGGAAACAGCCTCGCTAGGGAGCAGTGCCGTCGTGCTGTGGAGTGGCACCCACATAGAATTAAGCTGGACTTGATCATCTAGGAGGGCTTTTCCAACCTTCAGATTCCGTGAATCTGTGATAGGGGCAGGCCCGTGGGGGTCGCAGACCGAGTCTTGGGGAAAGGGGTCAGCTAGAGTTTGCTCTGGGGTAAAAACACCCCCGAGGTGTGGCTGCACCTCCCCTTTAGGCTGATCCCCCTCCCCACCGCACGAGGCGGCTGACGCGTGTGTTTGAATCCCAGGGTACGAATCTCGAGCCTGCAGCGACTCTGAAGACTCCTGGGAGCTGGAATCCTCCTCAGAGCGTCGCGGGGACCACCCTGCGGAACAGGGCAGCGCAGAGGGGCCAGGGGAGCCTCGCAGTGCCGGGGGGAACGGGGGTGACAGTGCCACGGACAGCACGTCCGAGGCTTCCGACTCGGCCAACTCCGAGAGCCGGGCGTTCAAGACGAGCGGCTCCAGCGACTCCATGGACGCACTCGAGGAAGATGCGCTGGAAGCGTGTTCCTCCTCCGGGCCAGAGCTGTTCCACTTCTACACGCCGACCGTGCAGGAGACGAGCAGCTCGGACAGCAGCTTCGTCCCCGTGTGTGCCGCGGAGAGCCCGGGCGGGGCGGGGGCCGGGGACCGCTTCTGCTTCCTGCAGGTGCCGGCGGCGGAGGGGCCCGGGGGCAGCCCCTCCGAGCAGGGCGCGGGGCCGAGCGCGCTGGAGACGCGGCTGTCCGAGATGGACACCACGGGCTACTACAGCCTGTGCTACGGCACATCGCCCGGCGGCAGCGCCCGCCCCGCCACGCACGGCTGGACCGCGGGGCACGGACACCTCGTCCTGGAGCCGCCCCCGGGCTTCGGCGACTCCAGCTCCGAGGAGGAGTTCTACGATGCCGCCGACAGGCTCAGCCCTCCGGACACGCTGGCAGGTAAACCCACATCCTGCAGGTCACCTTCCTCCCACCTGCGCTGGGGTTCTGCCTGTTCTCCCATCAGTCTTCCTGAGGGAATTACCCTCCAAAAAACCTTCCCCAGGATTTTTGAAGGACCTTCAAACACCCATTCTCCACAAGCCACTCCTGAGCAGGTGTACAATGACACTGCAGGGGGATTTGTTATCACATCCAAGCACTAGGTCGCAGGAAAAGTCAGTTTTCAGATGAGTGTGGCATTCTGGAATCTCTGCTCTCTTCCTCTGAGCTGAGGAGAGCCAAAACCTGTAAAACATTGTTTCCCAAAATCAAAAGTCATGTTCAGGTCAGGGACGTGTTATGAAGCTGGATCAAGGATTCCTGAGGCTGAGCAACTCCCCAGTCATTGTATTTTCTCACAAAGGAAAGGATTCTTGTTTCTGCTCTGTCAGTATTAACTGAACCTCTTAAGAATTTGATCTGTGCCATTAAACAGTTTTGACTTTTGCATTAGGGCATTGTCACTCTATTGCGTTCAGAAAAAAACCTGTCATCTCTGGAAGTTTTTGTCATCTAAATATCCAGCCGGCAATTTCTGACCATGTTTCTTTTGATGATAACTCTACCCCTGTGGGCAGTGCTCCTGTAGTTACTGCTGCTGTCCTGAAATTTAACTGGGGAGTTACAGCCACACCTGCCATCAGGTGAAGCAACTCCAGCACACTTGGGAGGGGACTGTCCAGAGCCCTCATGTAACCAACCCTGGGCTTTGGTGCTTGTACCCATAGAAACAGACTCTGCCTTTTCCTTGACATCTCTGACACCGAGGAGGTGCTTGATCATGGGAGATGGTTTCCCCTGGCCCTTGGGATCTGGGTGTTGCTGCTGGACATTTGTGTCTTTGATTCCAAGTGCTGTGCTGAGAGGTTTTTTGGCCCACTGCATAGACATAAGGATCTTCTGCCACCTGGAACTGTTTTCTGATTTCTGTGGTTTTTTTCTTGCTATCAGGCCATGATATGACATCCCAGGAGGGTACGGAGAACTCCTCCTGCATCCCCAAGAGACTGAGGTGCTACAGCTTGGGGGAGAACCCGTCACCAGGGCAGACAGTGAGGGAGAAGCACAGGGGGGAGAAGGAGCTGACGTATACCAAGAGCCTGAGGAAGAGAAGGTCTTTCCTGAAAACTGATTACACTTCCCAGGTCAGTTTCCCCTTGCCTCTCGTGGGCTCTCCACAGAGCTGCTGCTCCTGGCCGCCTGCTCAACCCTCCTTGGAGGACCTGGGGAAGGACATGGACACGGGGCTTCCTGAGGCCACCCGGGCCCAGAGGGACACTGCTGGCACAAACTCCTGCTGTGACCCACTGGAGATGGAGCCTGACACCATGGAGACAAAGTCGGTGATGGAAGGGGTAGTTTCATCCATTTCGGCGGTTTGCTGTCCTGGTGACCAGGGTGGGGAGGAAAACAGCAGCCTTTTGCCAGAACACCCCCCCTTGCTGAGGGAAGGTGAGGAAGATGAGACCCTTCCCAGAGGACAGAGCGAAGCTGCCCAGGAAAGCTCCCCACTGGATCCAGATGCCAGGGCGCTGGGCCAGGGAAGCTGCGTGCCCACTGAGGGCTGGCTGGCCCGAGGGGCGCTGGAGGAGGGGGACGAGGTGATGGTCATCCAGCACAAGGCTGGCACTATGACCCCATCCTGTGGCCAGGAGGGGACCTGCCCTGCTGGTGAACTCTTGCCACCACTGGCTCCTGGCCCCAGTGTGGCCCCTGCCCAGGAGGCGGCTGAGGAGCAGGGGCAGCTCCCGGCTCTCTGTCAGAAGAGCAAAGCTGGTGGCAGCTGCTGTGCCGAGGGCAGCAGGGACACGCCCGAGTCCCACGTGAGAAGCCCACAGGTGGTGAACGGGGAGGCCCTGCGGAAAGTGCACGAGGGCCACGTGGGGTTTCCAGATGCAGCCCAGCTCCTGGCAGATTGTGGTGCCTCGGGGGTTCTCACCCGCCTCTCCTGGCTCTCATTTGGGGTGAGGACAGACCTCGCATCACTCAGCCTGGCACGAGAGAGGGTGGATGTCCCACTTGAGCCTTTAGCCTCTCAGAGAACCAGTGGGTGCACAGGGGCCAATGCTGTGGGAAAGGAGGTGCCAACATCCCTAGCTGGAGCAGGCTTTGGGCAGGAGCTGGTGAGCAGCTCGGGGCTCGGTGATGGTGATGGGGAGCCCAGAGGAAACACAGGGATCGTGGCTCAACAGCAGCCACAGTCTGTACAGGCTTCTTTTCCGAGGGAACAGGCTCCCGAGGTGGGGAAGGACTCTTGCCTGGCTCCATCTCCTGAGCTGTTTAACTCCTCAGATCCAGTTCCCTCACTGGGGAAAGAGGCAGGAGATCACAGGGCTGTGAAACACTCCTTCCTCTGCTTTAACCAGGAGGAGGGTGAGCAGACCCCTTCCTGCCCCATCTCGGTGAGGCCCCAGGGCAGTTCCCCAGCACAGAGCTCTCTGTCCCCACGTGGCACCGACAGCTGCGGCTGCCGCCTGCCCTACATCGGCTGCTTCCACCAGCCCGACAAAGGGGAGCGTGAAAACAGCCCCTCCACGTTCCTGGGGCCCCTCACCACCCCCCCAGCCAGCAGCTGCAGCCTTCCCGGGACCCCTGTGAGCGGGTTCCCGGTGTCCATGGGTGGGGACGTGGCTGGGAGAGACCCCCATGTCCGGGCGCTCGGGCAGCTGAAAGACCAGGCGTGGCTGAGCCCCGCGGATTTCTCCCGCTTCCTGGCCTACACTGCCGAGCTCCAGGAGGTTGTGGGGAAGCTCTCCGGGAACCAGGCAACCCACCTGCAAGATCAGTGCACAGAGCAGGGTGCAGACAGTAAGGGGGCCCTGGGCTGGGCCTCCCGGGACCTGCTGTCCAGCTGCCAGGAGCTCCTGAGCACAGAGCAGCCTCTCACGGAGGTGCAGCGGGCACTGAGGGCAACGTTTGACCACCTGGTTCACCTGGCAGTGACCTGCTTCCAGGTGACACACTGCTGGCGCTGCAGGCAGAGGCAGCAGGAGCTGGGGGCTGCGCTGGGGGACGTGGTGGGCACCTACCAGGGGCTGGTGCAGGCTGTCCACCAGCACCTCCACGGGCAGGGCTGCCCGGAGCTGGGGGCTAAGCTCCTCGCCCGCCAGCACATGGCCCTCTCAGCTGCCATCTTCTGTCTCCTGCAGCAGTTCAGGGCACCCCCCTGTCTGTGACAGGCTGGGTAGGGGCACACGAGGGCACTGGGGGGGACAGAGCCCAGTTGTGTGCCCTCTGCCCACCTCAGGCTCTCCCCCATGGCGATGTTTAGCCCCACAGCCCCAGGTCCTTTGCAAGAGGTGCCGCGGAGAGCTGGGCTCCCCAAGAGGTGCTGTGCCCAAGGGTGCTCTTGGAGCACGGCAGTGGCATGTGTGTCATGCTCAAGGCTCATCCCTCGCCTCCCAGAGGCCATGCAGGTGTCCTCTCTCAGGGTGTTTTCTCAGCCACCTTCTGTCACCTGTGGGGAAGGACAGGACCCCTTTGGCCTGCCTTTCACCCACTCCTGGCTCCCCAGGCAGGCTATGGGACATCAAAACCCACCCTGGCCTAATGTGAAGGACCCCCAGTGGCTTTGCCCACCTTCTGTGGCCAAGGGAATGCAGTGATCCTGTATTCAACCACTTTCCCATGTGAGGGCAGGAAGGGTTGTCCCAGGCTGGGGAGGTAGCACCATCTCCCTCTGTTCCACTGCAATTCCTGTGTCAGCAGCAACTCTCTTTCTGTCTGCTGATGCATGAGACAGTCCTTGACTGACCCCCCACCCCGTGCTACTCATGGCTCTGGGTCTGCCAGAAAGAACCACCAAGCCCCACTGTCAGAGCTGTGCAGTGACCCTTCCACAGCCTCTGTCCCCACTCCCACCAGGTGCAGCTCACCCTGACCAGGTGTGAGCTGTGAAGGTGGTCTCACTTCGCATCCCCCAGGAGGCAGCACTGCAGTGCCCTCAGACGGGGATGCCCAAGGTGGTCACCTCCACCTCCAGCTTGCCGAGAGCCCCCAGGGCACAGCCCCCACTGACACCACAACACCCTGAGCCCCTGTTGTGGGTTAACCTGGGGATAAGCAGAGGTTAACGCCTGGCTGGGGTTAAACCACAACAGCCCCCCCAACAGCTGTTGCTGCAGCCCCTCTGACAGCCTGACCTGGGCAGAAGCTCCAGGTGTATGAGACACTCTTGCTGTGAAAAGAAATGAAAACACATAACCATAGTTACCTCAGACAACCTTCAGGTCTCACTGCCGGTGGCTGTGAGGCTTTGGGTCTCTTCTGGCAGCGATGGCTGAGGTAACATATGGACACAGCTGCACAAACATGCTTCCTGCTGTGCTGTGGAACGTGTCCCTGCCCTGTGCAGGGCGCAGCCCAGCCCAGGTACCTGCCAGCAGGACACACCTGTGCATGTCATGTATGACAAGGTACCACATATAGTAACTGTAAGGACACAATGGGGATCTAAACGTTTTATTTTAGATTAGATGCATAGGACTAGCTACAGGCTTCAACAACTCACCAAGTCTTCAACTGGATTTAAGTTGTTGGGACATGGTGCCCTTGCCTCCCATCCCACATTCTCCTGTGGGAGCAGCACTCTCCTGTCCCATGGCAAGGGATTTTCCCCGCCCATAAGCTTTGCAATCCTAACTTCACATTACTCACTGTTTAACTACAATGAAGGAAACACCTCAAAGTTCTCCTCCCTGTCCCAGAACAAGTGTAGGTGCAGGAGTCACAAACAAACAGCTGCAAAGAAGCAAAACTGAATTCAGTTTTCACTTGATCCCAGGCTCCACCAGCTCTTGTTTCCTGCCCAGGGTGATGGGGATTGTCCAGCGTGGCACTGCTGAGGTAGAAGGTGTTGCTCTGACAAGGTCCCTTGCTCTGACAAGTGACTGTGCTCCCTGTGCCCAGTCACGCCGGTGCCTCCTGCCTGTGCAGCTCTTCACCACAAAATAAAGAGTTTCCAAGGGTGGCAGTGTGCTGGGGTGTTTCCACCGGTTGTGCTGCCTCCCGTAGCACGTAGCCTTTTCCAGAAGAGACTCCAGCCTTCAGGGCCACTGGCCAGTTCCGCGTCTCGTAGTAGGTGCACAGGATGTCGAAGACTGTCGGGAGCAGAGAGGTGTTGAGTCACACATGTGCTCTGACATCTGTGCCAGCAGCCCTACACACTCACCAAACACCAGGGAGGGATGACAGCTAACCCAGAGAGGGTCTCCCCTTTAACACCTGAAGAGTCTGTGCCACAGGCAGCCCACCTACGGGCAGACAGGTATTTTGGAGAGGACTTTAGGGAGCTCTGGGCAAAGTGGACTCTGTGTCAACTATAGCAAGGTGCCTTTGGTCACTATTTTGCCTGACCTGTGCCATCTGTCTGTGTGGCTGATGGTACCCCCTGTATTGGGCCACACCTGCTGTGCTCCCAACATCACTCCTGGGTGCTGAGACCCCACCTCAGGGCTCCCCTGGGCACACAGAGCCCCCACCCACCTCAGGGGCAAGAACTTTCTAGAGCTGGCCCAGGACACGAGCCTGTCTGCAGTCACCTTGCAATCCTCTGCTGTGACCAAGTGTGCCAGCCCAAGGTGGTACAGGACACCAACACCTTCCCTGGCATTGTGAGCCTGGGCTGAGCCTGGCACAAAGCCCCAAACTCCCACCCTCCCATGGCCTGTACCAACAACAGCATCCCCCCAGCAGACTGTCCCCTGCCTCATGCACAGCTCCCCCAGGGAGCACACAGACCTCGGAACAGGGATCAGCAGGGATCACACCACACTCCAGCATGTTCCCCCAGCCCCAGCACAGCCCCAGAGCAGCCCCTCACCCTGGTTGATGGCCAGTGTCTCTGAGTGGTAGTTCCTGGAGTTGGGGGCTTTCACCATGTACTCGCGGATAGGGAGTCGGGCTGTCTGCAGGGACTGCTCCCGTGCCCTCTGCAGGGTCAGCTGCTGCAGGGACACACAGACAGCTGCCACACGTCCTCACACACGTGTGGCATGAGCAGCCACAGAGCCAAAACCTGCCCTGGGCCTCGTGGCACCTGCACTGCTGCAGCCTGGCACAGCTCGCTGCTGGGTCTGGGCAGGATTTGAGGGAAAAGGGATATGATGGCAGCAACACCACTGGGATATCTCTGCTCTCGTGAGGAAATGGAGCAGGCAACACCCACCTTGTGAATGCTCTCGTCCACCAGCCCTCCCAGCACGTACACCTTATCCGGACTGATGTCTTCAAGGACTAGGAAAGGACACTGGCTCAGCCCCACGCAGCAGTGAACCCTGCAAGATGCTGCTCCCCCAGCAGACCCCACTCCCACGGACAGCAGTGGGCAGAGCCCCCTCACCGGGGGCTGGGGCCCGGGGACAGATGGGTCCCTTGGGAGCAGATTTAGCACCAGATCTGAGCACACAGCATGTCTTGTGCAGTATGGGACAGGGAATGAGAGGAACCCACTTGCCTGGGGCACAAAACCGCCTCAAAAAGAAAATCCTAACATTCAACCTTTAGCCCTTGCCTAAAGCATGTGAAATATTTACCATTCTCAGAGTCAGGAGTGAGATAAACAATGGCATCCAAAGGAAATAGGTCCAGGTAACTCTCTGGAGTTGTATCCATCTGAAAAACACAAGGCAGGGAGAGGAGCAGCCCATCAACCCAAGGTCCATCTGTCAGAACAAAACTCCCTCCCAGACACAGAGATATCCTGGGACTGACACTACTGTTTGGATGTATAAACGCCTACAGAAACACTGGCTTTGGGTTTTCCTTTTTCAACTGGAAAATGTTTCTGTATGGGCAGTGAACAACACATATCTCAAACTCCATTAAATTCTCTCCTCACCAAAAGTCCTTGGTGTGGTTTGACAAAGGGAGAACAGCAACAATTATCTAATTTTAAATGAGATTCAAGTTCTCGAGGGACTCAGGAGTCCCCACCGCGGGTGTTTTTGCTGTGCTGGCTGCCGGGTGTGCTGCAGAGCGCAGGGCTCAGCCCTCACCAGGTACCGTTCGAAGCCGTCGTTCATGCGCAGGCACTGCTCGTAGATCGGCGTCCCGGCCGCGAACTCGGTCAGGCACAGCCAGAAGGGGCGGCTGGCGCGGCGGTTCGTCCCGTACAGCCGGCGGATCTGCGAGGCGAGGCGGCCGCTCTCCTGGGGACGGGGCGGGATGGGACCGAGCGGGCCCGGGGACACACCGGCACCGGGGATACACTAGCGCTGTGCCCGGCACCGGGGACACCCCAGCGCTGTGCCTGGCACCGGGGATACACCAGCGCTGTGCCCGGCACCGGGGATACACCAGCGCTGTGCCCGGCACCGGGGACACCCCAGCGCTGTGCCCGGCACCGGGGACACCCCAGCTCTGTGCCCGGCACCGGGGATACACTAGCGCTGTGCCCGGCACCGGGGACACCCCAGCTCTGTGCCCGGCACCGGGGATACACTAGCGCTGTGCCCGGCACCGGGGACACCCCAGCGCTGTGCCCGGCACCGGGGACACCCCAGCTCTGTGCCTGGCACCGGGGATACACCAGCGCTGTGCCCGGCACCGGGGATACACCAGCGCTGTGCCTGGCACCGGGGATACACCAGCGCTGTGCCCGGCACCGGGGGCCCGGGTGGGATCGGGGACACACCAGCGTTCTGCCGGGGGCCGGTCCCGCCGGGCTCTCGGTGCCCTGCCCGGGGCAGGGACGGGCACATGCGGGGTGCAGCGTCCCCGGGACCCCCGAGCAACCCCCGGGTCCCCCAGGAACCCCGAATTGTCCCCCCGGGCAGCCCCCGTACCTTCTCGCTCATGCCGCCGGCCACGCCGAGGTCCAGGCAGAGCCGCGGCCCCGCCGCCCGCGCCTGCAGCAGCCGCTCCCGGGCCAGGGCGGCCGCGGCCCTCCCGCGAGGGAGCAGGGGCTGCTCGGACCCGGCGGGGCCGCTGCCGAGCGCCGTCCCCGTCCCGTCCCCGCGCCCCGGGGCCCGCCGGGCCCGCCGGCGCTGCCGCTCCTGCCGCCGCTTCCCGCGCCGGGCGGCCACGACCCGCTCCCAGCGCCGGCGCTTCCGCAGCGCGTTCCTCTGGGGGGACGCGGGGTCAGCGGGGCGGCGGAGCGGGGTCAGCGGGGCACCGAGCGGGGTCAGCGGGGCACCGGAGCGCGGCCCCGCCGAACTCACCGAGAGCGGCCCCTCCGCACACCCCGAGCGCGGCCCCGCGGCCGAGGGCTCGATCCGCAGCAGCCGCAGCGCCTCGGCCGCCACCGCCGGGTCCATCTCCCCCGCCGGGTCCGTCTCTCCCGCCGGGTCCATATTCAGCAGGTCCATCTTCAGCAGGTCCATCTTCAGCGGGTCCGTCTCCCCCGTCAGGTCCGTCTCCGCCGCCGGGTCCATATTCAGCGGGTCCATCTTCAGCGGGTCCATCTTCAGCGGGTCCATCTTCAGCGGGTCCATCTTCAGAGGGTCCATCTTCAGCGGGTCCATCTTCAGAGGGTCCATCTTCAGCGGGTCCATCTTCAGCGGGTCCATCTCCCCGCCGGGTCCGTCTCCGCCGGGCCCGCCCAGCTCCCATCCTTCGCCAGGCCGCCATCGCGGAGGGGCGAGGGGCGGGGGTGGGTCCGGGGCGCGTCCGGGGCGGTCCGCCCGTCCCCCCGCCGGAGCAGCGGCGGCCGCGGAGGGGCAGCGCCCCGGCCGGGCCGAGACTGCCCCGGTGCCGGCTCTCTCGCCGGGCCGGGGCCGGTCCGTGCCGGGGCCCCGCTCGCAGCGGTACCGGGGTTTGTGAGCCGTGCCCCCCGGCCCAGGGGGTTTCCCGTCTGAGCTGTTTTGGTGTTTTCTCGCCGCTGGGAGAACGGGACTGGGCACAAACCACTGCAGAGGCAGCTGCTCAGCACCAACCGCCCGATTCCTGGACCTGAGCAGCAACACCCCCAGGGGACTGTAACCCCCTGGAAAACTGTCCCCCACACCCCATGGCATCACTGTCAGCGTGTGAGCCGGGGGAAGGCAAAGCGGGGGACATCAATAAAAGCTGGCCCAGCCGGGATCAGCGGTCCCAGCTGTGCCCTCCTCGCTGTCGGGGCGGGGGAGGCTGAGGAGCCCTGGACACTGCCCGGCGACAGCTCAGCACTCGTGTGCGATCGGTCTGCCCCAGAGCAGAGGGCTCAGCCCCGTGCAGCGCTCACAGCGCGGCCGCTGCAGCGCAGCTTGGGCTGCGGAGGCACCGCCGACCAGGACTGCAGAGCTGAGCGGCTCGGGGCCGCGGGGAACCCCGGCCGGGGGGGGCCCGCTCGAGGGTCTCGCTCGGGGGTCCCGGTCAAGGATCCCGGTCAGGGGTCCCGGTCAGGGGTCCCGGTCGGGGGTCCCGGTCAGGGGTCCCGTTGGGGGTCCCGGTCAGGTGTCTCGCTCGGGGGTCCCGGTCGGGGGTCCCGGTCGGGGGTCCCGTTGGGGGTCCCGGCCAGAGCGAGCCGGGTCGCGGCTCCGCCCACGGGGGTCCAACTGCGCCTGCGCCGCCCCGGTCCGAGCAGCCGCCGTCACGTGACTGCGCGGGGCGCGGCCTAAAGTGCCGGATGGGCTAAATCTGGGCATGCGCAGGTCCTCCGGCAGGGGGCGGGGCCGCGCAGGCGCAGCCGGCTGTGGCGCCGGCAGGGGGCGGGTCCGCGCTGCCGCCATGAGCGCGGGGCCGGGAGCGGAGCCGGGGCTCGCTGAGCGCTCCGGCCATGGCGGGGGCTCCGGGCCGGGAGCGCCGCTCGACCCGGGCCCCGACCACCCCCGGCACGGCGAGCCCGCGGGCCCGGGGCCCGGCGCGCCCGGCGGGCTGTTCGCCTGGCTGCGCGGGCGCTGCCTGGGCCGCGGCGCCGCCGTGGACCCGGCGCGGGACACGTTCGGCGCCATGACCGGGCTGTACGGCGCCATCCAGCCCGCCGACTCCGTGTCCCTCAGCACCCGCACCCACGGCGCGGTCTTCAACCTCGAGTACTCGCCCGACGGGTAGGTGCGCGCGGCGTGCCCGGGATCCGCGTCCCGGCGTGCCCGGGATGCACATCCCGGCGTGCCCGGGATCCGCGTCCCGGCGTGCCCGGGATCCCCGTCCCGGCGTGCCCGGGATCCCCGTCCCGGCGTGCCCGGGATCCGCGTCCCGGCGTGCCCGGGATCCGCGTCCCGGCGTGCCCGGGATCGCGTCCCGGCGTGCCAGGATCCGCGTCCCGGCGTGCCGGGATCCGCGTCCCGGCGTGCCCGGGATCCGCGTCCCGGCGTGCCGGGATCCGCGTCCCGGCGTGCCCGGGATCCGCGTCCGGCGTGCCGGGATCCGCGTCCCGGCGTGCCCGGGATCCGCGTCCCGGCGTGCCCGGGATCCACGTCCCGGCGTGCCCGGGATCCGCATCCCGGCGTGCCCGGGGCTCTCCCCGGGTCCAGGGGCCGCTCTGGTGACCAGGTGACATTGCTCTCCTAGCAATGTGTTCTGTGTTCTGTGCAGTTTATGTCAGCAGCACACCTGGGCTTTGCTTAAATAACTGGGGCGAGTTCCTGGGGCAGGTGTGATCCCACAGTGATCCCGCCTCTCCCGGGCAGAGCAGGGACCCTCCTTCTCCAGGACAGTCAGCCTCGATCCTTGCTGACGAGTGCCCAGCTCAGGCTGCTGCCGGGGCTCTGCTGGTGCTGCCAAATCTGTGTTTCACAAGGTTTTAGTGGAAAAAACCCCGCTGGATTTGCAGAAGAGCAAACTGATATTCCAAATGAGCGTTTGAGTTGGTGTTCCTGCTGTGTGAGAACACCCAGGGGATATGGGCAGGGGAGCCCACAGCACAAGAGGCACCTCCCAGAGGGCAAACATCCCCCAACTCAGAGGTTCTGCTCCCTTAGGTCGGTGCTGACCGTCGCCTGCGAACAGACCGAGGTCCTGCTCTTTGACCCAATATCCTCAAAGCACATCAAGACTCTCTCTGAGGCCCACGAAGACTGTGTAAACAACATCAGGTAGGTCAGGAGGGGTGTTTAGCCACAGCTCAGTCTTTTGCTTTCAATCCTCTGCTGGCCTCCCAGGACAGAGCAGAAAATAGCAGGAGCCTAGATCCATCCTGCAAAGTTTTTCCTTTAAAATCAGGGTTTCCTTAGCTGTTCTGGGTCTGTGAATAGATTCTGAGGTGTGCCTTCTAATAATATTGCAGCCACGCTTCAATTCTTAAAGCAAAAAAGAAAAACCCCCAAAAAATGAAAACAACAGCCAACGACACAACAACAAAAACTAAACCCAAACAAAAAAATTCAAGGGCAGAACAGTCTGAGCATTTCCCCTCAAAAGAGACAAATATGATATGGGGTGCCATGTTCCTCAGATAAGTCAATGTTTTCACAAGTTAGCTGTCCTTTTTACAAAAAAGACTGAAGTTTTATGTCAGCTGATTGTCTGTCAGGAAAGCTGAAGTAAAATGTGGGTCTGTCTGGCACAGAGGAACTGAACTCTGTTCTGGGCACAGTTACTGCAGCGTTACCTGAAACCTTGTTATGGTTAATGAGCAGGACTCCAGCCAGTGTGGCAGAAATTCCTTGTAATAAACACCAGAACTGCTTATTACACCAGAGTTTGGGATTTTTCCCATGGTAGTTGGTTATTGTTCATTTTTCAGGGTTGTTGCTGCTTTTGTGTGGTGTAGCTCTGAGATAAAGGATGTTTAGTGGGTGTTGAGTGGGTGTCTTGTCCTGTTTTCCTCAGGTCAGGTTTTTTTTCATTGAGTACTTTCGCTGGGCATGAATTCCAAACATAAACCAGCATGCTTTATCCTTCTAAAAGTAAAAGCAGGCCTGGGTTCCAGCGGGAGCAGAGGGTGCCCAGCTTTGTTTGTGTGGTGCCAACTCGGTGGTTTTGCCCGTTGATTTTCTCAGTGAACCAAGTGACTTTTGCGTGTTCTCAAACAAGGTCTTGCCTTCACTCGGTGTGTTTGGAAAGCCTTGCATTTGCTTCAGTAACCTCTAGACTCAGTTTATTCAACTTATTTCCTAGCTGTGCTAATTCCAGCCCCTCCATCCCTGCTGAGCTCAGTGTTGTCTGGAGAGGGAACGGGTGGAGTCACCACTGGGATTCTGTCTGAGCATATATTGCACTGGTGGTTTGGCTCTAGTATGGTTTGTACATGATAATGTACAAAATACCTGAAAACCCCCAAACTAAACCAAACTTCTGCTGTGCCTCCCTGTGTTCACTCATTTGCTACTACAGAGGTGGTGCTGGTTCACATCCTGGCAGTTCTTCTTTTTTGGAGACTTTATTGGTACATATACTGCTGTGTACGTGCTGTGTTTTGGGTTTTTTTGTGTGTGGCTCCTCTGTTTATCTCTGTGCTAGCTTACATTCCTGCCCAGGAGCGTTGGCCTTGAGCAGCTGCAGTGTTTCTCTGCCGTTCCCAGGTTTCTGGATAACCGACTGTTTGCAACGTGCTCCGACGACACGACGATTGCACTCTGGGACTTGAGGAAGCTGAACACCAAAGTTTGCACTCTGCATGGCCACACCAGCTGGGTCAAGAACATCGAGTACGACACCAACACGAGGCTGCTGGTGACGTCGGGCTTCGATGGAAACGTGATCATCTGGGACACCAACAGGTACCCAGATGCGTGCGCTGTGTTTGCGCCGTGGCCTTTCGACAGCACACCAGGACAGGGCTCTTCTGTTCAAGGTGCAGACTCTAGGGGGGCTGGAATACGTTCTGAAACACTGGGAGCAGTTTATACCCCTTGCAAGAGCTTGCATTGTCTCTCTATAGTAGTGATCCAGTGACTAAAAGGACTGAATTTTGGCTGATGTGCCAAAATGCAGTTCCTCCTTTTGGAGAAAGTTCTACCCTTGTGGTCATATGAATCCATGAGTTCTGCCATTTCATTAAAAAGTAGGGTAAAGACAGAAAGAGGTTTTGGGGTGCACAAGGATGCTGGGCACACCTTGGGCAGTCAGGGCTGACCGTGGCCGCCCCCTGTGCTTGTGTCGCTGTCCAGGTGCACAGAGGATGGATGTCCCCACAAGAAGTTCTTTCACACCCGCTTCCTCATGCGAATGAGGCTGACGCCAGACTGTTCCAAAATGCTCATCTCCACCTCCTCTGGTTACCTCCTGATTTTGCATGACCTTGACCTAAACAAGTCCTTAGAGGTTGGCAGCTACCCGATTTTAAGAGCCAGGAGGACCACGTCGAGCTCAGGTGAATGCTCGTGGAGCGCTCTGGGGCAGCCCTGTGTTAGAGGTGTTTTGTGGGGCGCTCTTGGCAGCATCCCAGGCGGGCTGGGCGTACCTGTGGTGCTCACCTGGTGATGCTGTTTGCAGACATAACGTCGTCTGGCTCCTCTGGCCCTCGAGCTGTGGGTTCACCCTGTCACCAGAATGACTCGAGTCCACTTTCTGAGAAACACTTGTCACGGTCTTCCCAGCGAGAAGGTAGGACAAGATCACCAAAAAAGGATAAATTAAAACGAATCATGGACTTTGACTTGTTGTATCAGAAAAGACCAGAGTGTAACAGTGAAAAACTGCATTTTTGTCTCTATGGTTTAAAAAAATGGTGTTGCCGTGACTTTTGTTAAACAGATAAAATATTGCACACCAAAGCCTGGGGTTCTAATCGGGGTTTTTTCTGAGAAATCTGATAACGGCAACAAGATCATTATATTATGTCAGTACATTCTTGTTCTTACCTAGAGGTGCTCCCTATTCCTTGTGGGGGTTTTTTTGAACAAAATTGTGATCGTATGAATGATCTTTAGGGGAGAAAACTAGGATACACTTCCAGAGGGTCAGTGTGAACTTGACAAATGTTTTCTGTGCATCATGGTGAGATGCTGAAACATAGTGATGAAAGGAGGAGGCTTACCTGAATGGTAAGGAGTGATTTACCTGTGGGTGAGGGGAACAAGGGAGACAAGCTGCATGCAGCTGCACAAATGTTGGAAGGAATTTTGAGAGGACATCATACAAGTTTGAGAATCAGTAGTTCCTATAAAAACCCAACTCTTCAGCTTTTGCTGTAGTCTAATGAAGAGTGGAAGTGTGGAAGGTTAACTCTGACGTGGTTCCCAATGTGAAGTGGTTCAATGCAGGTCTTGGCATGCAATTTTCATAAAAAGCTGTTTGAAACGAAGACTGAGCCCACTGTTTTGGCTGCAAGTGTTCCTGTAACTCCTCTGAATTACCCTGTCACAGTGGTGGGGTCTGTCCTGGCACTCGGGTGCAGCTGTCACAGGTGTGACCCCACCTCAGCAGCAGGACTGCTGAGAGCAGTGAAAGTCAGCGTATGGACTTCACTGAGACCCACAGCTGATTCTCCCTTCCAGGTGGATCACCCAGGAATAGCTTGGAGGTGTTGACACCAGAGGTTCCTGGAGAAAGAGATCGTGGGAACTGCATCACGTCGCTGCAGCTGCACCCCAAGGGCTGGGCCACGCTGCTCCGGTGCTCCAGCAACACTGATGACCAGGAGGTACGGCCAGTACCTCGTGTTCCTCCTGAAAATATGTGGGGTTAGACGGATCAGACAAGTGTACTGAAGTTTCCGTGTTTGGGGGTAAATGTTCATGTGAATAGATTAATTAGTTGTGATTACAGATTCTGTCATTTTGTACCAAAATTATGAAATTTTTTTTTAATGGTCTTCCTGCGAGAATCCACTTCAAGCCTTTACTTGAAGTATGAAGTCATAAGATCAGCTACAGCTTAGCTGCAAGCTGCAGCCTTTGGCCCCCTAAATTGACCAGCAATAGACAGTAGTACTTGACCAATAATAAACAAACAGTTTAGTTAGTTGGATTGCTGATGTGAGTTGAGGTTGGTTTGGTTTTGTTTGGGCTGGGCATTTTTTGGTGTCTGTGTCTTTGAGTTTTGTTTTTTTTTTTTTTTTTTTTAAGAAAGCCACTCTTTGTAATTGTAACTCCTTACAGAAGTGTAGAGGACTGAGTGGAAGCTTAGCAAAGCAGTTATAATCGTTAGTGCTGGTTCTGTAGCAACCAAACCGCTACACAGCACAAGATGTTTCCAAAATGCAGATGTTTTATTGGGGCTGTTGGTACTGCTGATTGCCTGAGTTATAACTTCCCATAGTCATAGAGTCTGCCTTACTCAGTCTGGTATTGTTCCTTGTGTGGGTAGTTCAGTGTGATGCACTGGACAGAGCTAGAAACACTCGGTCTTTTGGCCAAAATGGAATCAACGCAATACAAAATTAGTCACTGACCTGATTTTGAGATTATATAATTAAGATCCCTGTCTGTCCTGCAAAAAACAAGTTGGCTGTAGAGCTGTTCTAACATTCCTTCAGAAATTGATTTCTCCCTCATTTCAAGATTCCTTTCCTTTTGAAGTCCAAGGAAATGGACTTCAAAATGGCAATGGTCAGCTCTAAGTTACAGTTAAATGAGTTTGGCTTTGTTGTAGATTTAATTTAAATATTTACTGATTTAGAGCAGGTGCCTGGCCAAAGGATTAGGCTTTGCTCCTTACACATAAAAACTAGATTGAAAAGACTGTCTGTTTAATTAAAAGAGCAGCTTTGATGCTGGACAGCTTTCAGAGTGAGGGAGATGCCGAGGCACTGGTCTGTTCCTGGTGCGCACTGAAGGGTGGGTCAGCAATAGTATCAGTCCCATGAACTACTTGTTACCTGTGTGGGCTGGTGGGAGGGAATGTGTGTTTGCAGTGCTTTACTTCTCTTTCAGTGTCCCTTTCTCTGCCTCTCCCTTTAGTGGACTTGTGTCTATGAATTCCAGGAAGGAGCCCCGGTGCGCCCCGTGTCCCCGCGCTGCTCGCTGCGCCTGACGCACTGCATCGAGGAGGCCAACGTGGGCCGGGGGTACATCAAGGAGCTCTGCTTCAGCCCCGATGGCCGCATGATCTCGTCCCCGCACGGCTTCGGCATCCGCCTGCTGGGCTTCGACGCGCAGTGCCGGGAGCTGGTGGACTGCCTGCCCCGGGAGGCCAGTCCCCTGCGCGAGATCCGCTCCCTGTACTCCCACAACGACGTGGTGCTCACCACCAAGTTCTCCCCCACGCACTGTCAGATCGCCTCGGGGTGCCTTAGTGGACGCGTCTCCCTCTACCAGCCCAAGTTCTAGGCACAGCAGTGGGGCCTGTGCGTGGATGGCTGTGGGCTGTACTTCAGCTCTCTCCGAAATCTCTAACTCCAGATGGGATCTCGGTTACTGTGCTCTTGGAGCACGGCCCTGGAAGGATTTTCCAACCCAGCACTGTGCAGATCTTCCTCCTGCACTTACAAGCCCGTGGCCGTGTCCCAGAGCTGGCAGAGCTCTGCTGTTGCTGGTCCTGTGCCATTGGGTCGCTGTCCTGCTGTGTTTGTACCCTGATACTTGATCATTTCCTTCAGTGCAACTGGAATGAGCTGTTGGAGACAGTGCAGAGGGGGCCCAGGTGCCTCCTGTCTGAGAGGAGCTGGACTCTGCCTCACCTCCGCTTCCTCCTCTGTCACTGAAGCAACTTGGTGGTGGTTTGTAGATAATCACCTGCTTGTCTACATAAGCAACACACTTAGTTACTGACACAAAAAAAAAAAAAGGAAAAGGAAATTTTGCTTTCATTTCTATATGAACTTGGTTGTGGTTGGCTAGAAAAATGAGTCACAGGGTGGCAGGGACCACTGAAGGTCAGCCAGGCCCATCCCCTGTGCAGGCAGGCCCCCTCAAGCCCCTCACTCAGCACTGACCCAGGAAGAACTCCAGTGCTTCATGTAATGGGGCAGCTCTGGCTCCTCCACTCATGGGTTTCTGCTGTGGGGAGTTTTCCACACCATCCCACATCTGAAACACCGTGGCTTTCTGCTGATGTTGGGGTGTTTCCCACCTGGCTGTTTTTCCACACCTTGCCTGCACTCTGGCTGTTGAAGGAATTCATTTGGATGTGTACATAGTATCACCAGATGAGCCTTTCTTCATGTGTGTTATCAGTTTGGAGAGATTAAAACCAAACCTGTCAACAGTGTGATCTGTCTGGATCTCACTAGGCTTTTCGCCAGATGGGGAACACTGTAACATTCATCCTGCTGAAGGGTCTGCAGGGGAAACCTTATGAGGAACGGCAGAGGGCACTTCTTTATTCAGCCTGGAGGGGATTGAGGGAGGGTCTCATTGGGGTCATCAGCATCCTCCCGAGGGGCAGCGGAGGGGCAAGTACTGATCTCTGCTCTCTGTGAGCAATGACAGGATCCAAGGGAAGGGATGGACCTGTGTCAGGGAGATTTAAGTTGAGTATTAGGAAGAGGTTCTTCCCTGAGAGGGTGGTCGGGCATTGGGAGAGTGGTCATGGCCCCAAGGCTGCCAGAGCTCTCAGGGACAGGGTGGGATTGTTGGGGTGTCCTGGACAGGGCCAGGAGTTGGGTTGAGTGGTCCTTTTGGGTCCCTTCCTACTCAATGGATTCTGTGATCACACCCAAAGTACAAATACCAGGTTTCAGCTCCCAAGTTAATAGAGCCAACCTTGTAAATGCATACGTATTTCAGTCCACATCAGTTTATAACATTCTCTTCACTTATGTGTCCCAAGATCAGGTTTTTTTTTAGTATTTCACTGAAGTTTCACTGGCCAGTCACACACTCAGTTCAGAAGGGAACTTTAGAACTTTACCTGAAAGGATTGTCAGCTTTTGGTGTTCAGGTTCACTGTCTGTGGCTCAACAGAGCACACTCATTCAAAGCTGACTCTTACAAAGCCTTTTGCAAAACACATTTGGGGATAAAAACAACATTTCTGGAGGTGAGAAAGCTGGAAGCATAAGCCTGAGGATCCTCCTGTAGCTTTGGATTTGTGCAGGTAACATACCCTGGTGGTGCTGGAGAAATTATTGAACTTAAGGCTCCTCTGCATTATGAGAGAAGAAAGTCCTGAATTTCCTGTTGTGGAGAATTTCTTTGGTAATAGGAAGCCTTCAGTATTTGGTGTTTGGTAATCTGAGGGCAATCATCCCTTTGGCTGGCACCCAGCCTGAGCCTGATCCTGCACCTGAACACGAGGGTCTGGGGTTGTTGGAGCAGCTCAGGGTCAGCTCCCTTGGCTGTGGGTTAATGCCCTGGGAGGAAAGTGTGCAGGAAACCAGGGACAGCTGTGGAATAGAAGATTTTTATGCAAAGAAGGAGCTACAAGGAGTAGCAAGCTGTCTGGGGAAAATCCAGGTCCTGTCCCGGACCACCATGGCTTTTCCCTGGGCAGTTGCTCTCCCACTACCAGGCTGCTTTCTCACCTCACTTGGTGTTTTCTTACACGTCACGGAAGGGACTACAGAGACATTCGAGGGAGTCTCACAGTTCTTACGGACTTGCACTGTGGTTTTTTTGGAGGTGAAGGACCACCCACGGAATAAAAGCATTTTTTTGGGTGAGTCTGTCTGTCTGCTTTCAAGGCTGGTTTTGTTCTTTCCTGTTGGGACTTCCTCGGACTAGTGGATCCCTAGTGACTGTAACGCTATGCCTGTGAATATGCACTGAGTGTTACTTTTTTAATTCTACCTCATGATACGCTGTGTTTTACACCAGTATTGTGCTGAGCATTGGACACTCACCGTTCTGTATGAAGAACTGTTACCCCAAAGTGACACATGTCACCACACCTTGGTAAGACCTGTGGTGGGCTGAGTGGCCCCACCTGGCTCTGGGACTGAGAGCTCACCTGGTGAGGGGATTTGGTCACCTTGATGCTTTTGTAGTGTGTCCAGCAGATGCATAAAACAATGGAATCTGTACATGTATGCTGTAGAAATGTTACTTTGTCCTTCTGATGACATTTGTAATACGTTTGAATTGGACTAAGTAGGTAGTCTTAGACTTCGGTCATTTGATTGATTACTCCGTTTCAACAACACTTGGAAGTTTTCCGTGCAGGGTTTACCACGCTGTGCCTGTGAAGTTCACTGCTCAGTGGTTCACGGCTGGCACGCCTCGCAGACACGTCGTAGTGGGAGGATTTTCAGTTCTCTTACAGTAACATTACTGAAGCAATTAAGTTTTGTGTCCGTGAGCTTTGGGTTATTTCCAAATAGTCAAAAAAACCCCCACAAAACTGTTTATCATAGTTGTGTTTTCCAAGGTTGATTGCTTAACCTTGAGAAGTGTATAAAACTGTGAAGAAGAGTTTCCAAGAGAGATGAAGGACTGTGCTGGCAGCTGGCGAGGGGGTGGCTCACACCAGGGGTGTCTGTAAACTGGTGCTGCAGCACTCGATAAATTTCACAGCGTTTCTCCTGGGGACAGAGCTCTGTCTCGCTGTGCAGTGTGTTGTGTGTTGTTAAATGCTTGGCTTTGTACTCAAGAACGTCTGTAGTGAAAGAATTCCTGGCTGTCGCGCAGAGCTGGTCAGCAGCTGCAGATCTGTGCGGAGGCCACACCCGGCAGTGCCTGAGGAACCAGAGCTGTGCTGGAGCTGATTCTCTGCCACATCCCGTGGCTGTGGCAGCACTGCATTTCCAGGGTCTCCCGGTGGTGAGGGGAGAGGGGGAGAGGCCGTCACCGGGGCCCTGTGGCCACACTCAGGTGTGTGCATGGGGTCATCGGGGCGTGCACAGCCAGGGGCTCCAGTGCAGTGTCAGCCAGGACAGCCCAGGGAGAAATGGGGATAGGAAGGAAAGCACAGCGATACAGACACACACGTTTGTTTGCACTCTTGGAGTCTTGGGGTAAGGACAGTTCAATGCCTACTACCAGATTTAGAATGTAAGCATCAGGGTTTTCTGGGGGCTTGGGGGGAGAGGGGTGGGGCTTGGTTGATTTTTTTGTTTGTTTGTTTGTTTGTGTTGTGGTTTTGATTTGGGTAACACTGATATGGAGAAGGTTCTGACACGGAAGAACATGGGTCTGTTGCTTTAGGACATACATAGAAACTCCAAGAAAACAGAAACTTGCCAAATGGAAGCTTTTAAAAAAACCTACTTTACAAGGTTCTAAAAAGTTGGAGTGAAAGGAAGAAGTCAACGACCCATCCTGTTTTTGTCCTGCAGGAAACAGAAACTTCTCATTTTCTGACCTTAGTCAAAGGTACATTTTCTAAAGCACTAAGTATCCTCAATTAAGTATAAGGTTTTTACTACAAAAATAAATTGTGCATGTAGAATATTTTGAAATACCTGAGATTTCATAGTAAAAACTGTAGCCTTTTAATACCATATATGAAGTATCAGAACTGCTCTGAAAGTATTGTACTTACAGCCGTACAGTAACTTACTATTTGTGGACAGTTTCTCTTGCTTGCATAATAAACACTTAATAATTCACTGAATTAAAATTATTTTATGAGCTGTGTTCTGTAATGCTCACTGGTTCTTGCCTACCCCATAAAACTGAAAGGAAAAAACCTCTTAGTGCTTAGGTGCTGCAGTTCTTGTGTGTCAGAGACCCAGCTCAGTGCTCTTCCATCAAGTTTTTCTGAAAATTACATATGAAAAGTCAAAACTGGACTCAGCCTCAGATCAGGTCTGCACTATTTTGCTGGGGATGAAAGCCATGACTGGCTTTTGGGCTAGTGCCAAACTCTCACCCTCGGCACTTCAACCTCCCTGGCATTACAGAAGTACAGAACATCTTCCACAGAGAAACAGGATGCAGATTTTGTTTTTATTCCATCAAGGAGTGATTACAAAAAAAACCAGTACACTGGTAAAAATCAGATTCCGCCAGTAACAAATATCCAGTAAACATTTTATTTAGATGCAGATAATCACCACTGGGATACAGAAACTCGTGTTTGTGCCGACTGTGAAGCTCAGGGCTGTATTTATGATTGCAACACACTGATTAGGATCAATATTGGAAGACAGTTTAGCAAATGGAAAACTAATTTAGAAAAGCAATAGCCCCTCCAAAACTTATGAAAAGACCAAAATCAGACCACTTTGTGAAAGCTTTGCTGCTCCCCATCATCCAAAGTCTTTTGGTTTACATATATATATAAACATATAGTTTAATAACAGGAAGTCTCCCAGGAGAATCAAATGCTTTTTGTTGAGACCCTCACCTGGCTCAGGGTCATGCTTACTTTTCTGTCCTTGTCTCTAAGGTCTGAAGTCTTTTGTCTCTCAACTCTCACGTCTGTTAGACATGCAGTTTTCCTATTTCTGTCAGTCTTTTTAAATACTTGCCCAGAGAAGTCCTGAAACACATCTCCAAAAACTCCACTTTCCCACCTCCCTGCTTCCAAGGTCGTCTTTGGCTTCCATCTCTGCTACACCTACAGACCTCCAACTGAAGCAGGTAATCCAGGAACCTCACCTTGTCTATGCCACTGCGTCTGACAGAACTTTCATCAGCACACATCAAGCAGGCAGAACCCCGAGTTTTGGGTAAAAAAATCATGTGATCCATAATTCCACAGCAGGAGCTGAGAAAAGACAAGACACCACAGTGCAAAGAGCGGTGTGTGAAGTGCTTGAGCAGCTGCAGGAGCCTGAGTGTTCCGTGAGTGTTACAGACAGGGACATCTTCTCTCTGGCCCCATAGCTGTAGGCAACAAAAAAAGCAGCAATGCAAAAAAAAAAAAAACAAAACAACACCACCTAAAGAAACCTCCCAAACCATAAGATTAAGCAGAACAAACTCCGTGCTGTTTTAACAAGGAAGGACACTTTAAAGCTTTAGTGAGTTTGCTGTTTCATTCCTTCTACTTTTCCCTTTTCCCAGGAAGGCACACGTACACACACACACACACACAGATCCGGCTCGGGCTGAGGTCACACGGTCAGTGCCACGGCTGGAGGACACGGCCACTGCTGCAGCAGTCCGAGGTGCAGCTGGGAGCTCTGCACCTCAGTCATCCCCATCTGCTGTGTCCTTTGAGCTTGACACAACGAGGACCCAAAGGGTCTGAAAAAGCAGTTCCAGAATCGAGACTTGGAAGTTGATCAGGCAATGGAATCAGATTTCTTCAGCCTCTCCTTGATTCTTGTGTTCTAAATGCGGGCAGTGGAGCACATCCCATCACAGAGAGTTAAGGAATTTTGGGAGTGATACTGAATAACAGACTGGTACAAGTATTTTTGATGTTTGTTTTTAAACCTTGTATTTGTCTAGGAGCTCCATTATGGGTAAACTCACCTGCCAGCAAAGGAATACTTTAAAAAGTTCATCAGAATTGCACCGAGGTTTAAATTCATCACCATTCACCCCATAAATACGGAAGGCCAGGAGGAATTACCTGTCACACGCACAGGCCCTGCTCCCTGGGTGTGTGCCCAGACGCACCGCGAGTGCCAACGCCCCACAGGCAGGACGGGGGTCACAGCAGCTTCAGCAGGAACTCGTAGGTGGCGTTGATGATCCCCCAGGACAGCACAGAGCGGTGGTAGTTCAGGTGGGCTCCTCTGAAGAGACGCATCAGTTTCCTGTCGCGCTCCAGCCAGATCTTCACGAGCACTTTGGAGAAGGACTGAAACTCCCCGCCAATCTGAGCCTGCATGCGAGTCTTTACCACATTCACTGGGAAGAACAGGAAGCCCAGCATGGCGCCCAGCAGCCCCCCACAGATGAAGTCGTTGACCAGGTGGGTGCTGTGCGAGGTCGCCTCAGGCAGACACTGCTTGATGGGCCCGCGCAGGCCGAAGAACAGCACGTTACTGGGCCCGTTCCGGAGCAGAATAGGCACCAGCCCCCGGTAGTACTCCCTCATTCCGTAGGCTTTTAGCACCTTGAAGGCCTGGTAAGTGTTTGTGAACTTGTCGTGGTGTTTGTAGTCCTGCAGCAGCGTCTGGACGCGCTCGAAGGGCGTGAGCACGGCCTCAGTGGTGCCGGCGAGCGCGGCGGCCAAGCTGCGCGTCACCAGCTCGGGGGCACGTGCATGGCTCAGCAGCAGCGCCGAGAAGTCCTCGTAGAGGCCGAACATGAGCGCCAGGGTGGTGGTTTTCTGCAGCAGCGGGGGCAGGATGCCGCGGTACAGCGTGCGCAGCCCGTCGCGGCGCAGCTGGCGCACGGCGTCCTGCGTGCGCAGCCCGTACAGCTGCTGCCGGAACAGCACCTTCTGGATGGGGAAGGTCACCGCGATGTTGGTGAAGGCCGCGCAGTACCCGCACACGTAGTGCTTGCCCGGCGCCGCCGCCTCCCCGCTCACGTCCTCGGGCTCAGCGCCTCCCGCTCCCATCGTCCCGGCGCTCCTGGGCGGCGTCCTCAGAGCCTGCTCCCTGCGCCAGAGACAACCACGTGAGCCGGGCTGAGCGGCCTGCAGCCTCTGCCACAGCCGGGCACCACTCACACAGCCCCTCAGCGAAAGGCCCGCCGAGCTGGACGGGGAAAATCAACAAACGCCCCGTCTGGTGGATGCTGCACTGCTTTCTGTTCAAGCCTCAGAGACAGCAAAAGGCAGCAGTTCTGCCCTCCTGGGCACTTCCCAGTTAAAACCCAAATCAGGAAGGAAATTGAGATGCGAACTCATGGAGTGCTACTCTACATCCAGCTTACAAACCAGATTTCCCTTGGATTCCCCTGGAATTGGGCACTGTCACAGCGAAAGGTTGACCCTCACACTAACAAAACACCAAAATTAAATCCAACACGTGCAGCAGCATCACAAAAACTGATCCTTCCACTCTGCCTCTCCCTGCAGCAGAACACAGCAAGTAAATCACAACCTGTTGTGGTTTATCCCAGCCAGGAGCTGAGCACCTCCAGCCACTCCCTGTGTCCTGGCCACAGCCAGCAGACAGGGGCCACACAGGTGGGATTCCCGTGACACTGAGGTGAAATTCCCTGGCAGTCCCAGCTCCTTGCCCTCCAGCCTCCTCTGCATCCACCCCCACGCTCTGCTGAGGAGTCTCAGAGCTCGAGCGGGGCTGGACCCGGGTCCCGAAGGACACGTGGAAGGGGCAGCTCCCCCAGACAACCCGGGGGAGGATGGCAGGGATCGGGACTTACGGAACCCTGTTTGTTGGCAGAAGGGGACTTTTTATTTAAGAGTTATGAAATTCAGTTTCTGCCTGAATCCCACCCTCCATCACAGCTCAGCCTGAGGGAGGTCACTGAACTGGAAGTGGTCTGAGAGCCGCAGATCCTCCCCAGCGCCGGCAGCATGAGACTCCTAGGATCTGAAGAGGGTGTGGGGACAGCAGCCCCGCCTGATGCGAGGAGGTGCTGAATGGAGGGAGGGCAGAGGAGGAGAAGGAAAGGAGGGAGGGAGGAAAGGAAAGGAGCTGGGAGGGGGGAGAAGCGAGGAGGGGGAGCGAAAGGGAGCGGGGGCGGGCGAGAGAAAGAAGACAGAAAAGAAAGCAGGGAGGGGAAAAAAGGGAAACCCGTTTTCAGCCGCGCCCTCTCCCTGTGGTGTGCCCGCCGTCCTTGTGCCCCGGGGAAGGCCGAGTCGGGAGGTGCTCCCGCCAGGCCCGGCCCCACTCTCGGCCGCGGCTCCCGCGCAGCCCGCCCGCTGCCGCACGGCGGGGACAGGGGCGGGGAGGCCGGAACCGCGGCCGCTCCCCGGGCACTCCGCTCTGCCCGCGGAGCCCACACGGCACATCCCGCGCTTCCCGGCGGCACCCCGGCCCCCGCACTGCGGCCCAAGGTCAGGCCCGCGGCCGCGGCCCGGCCGGGCCCTCGGAATCGCGCCTTTCCGCCCCCGGTGCGCTGCGGCTATGGCCGGGGCGGGCGAGCGGGACGCACCTGCTGGTGGTGGTGCCATGGCGGGGGAGCGGGGTCGGGAGCGGGGTCGGGGTCGGGATCGGGATCGGGATCGGGATCCGCGCCCGGAGCGCCCGGCCCGGCGCGGCACCGCGCCGCTCTCTGACGTCACCGCGCAGTCGAGTGACGTCACCGCGCCGCCGTGGGGCGGGCAGAACGCGAGTCCCTCAGGCCACGCCTCCGACTCAGTCCCAGCCAATCGCGTGAGGTCACCCTGGGCCACGCCCAGTGTGGGCGGGGCCGGGAGCGGGAACGGGAACGGGAGCAGGAGTGGGGCTGGGAACGGGAACGGGAGCGGGGCTGTGACGGGAGCGGGAGCGGGGCTGGGAACGGGTCCGTGGCAGGAGCTTTGAAGCAGCCCCGGGAGGCTCGGTGTCCCCCCGGGCTCTTCCCAGGCTGTCCCGGTGCCCGAGCCGGGGTGCCTGGCCCGCTCGCCGGTGGCACCGCTGGGGCGGCGGCTCTGCCCTCGGCTCCGTGGGCGAGGGGCTACGGGGGGATATTCGTCCCTCCTGTGCTCGGAGGTCCCGTGTCCCCGTGGCCCATGGCCCTGCTCGTCCGTGCGCAGTCCGAGGGCTCGGGGTTAAGCCCCAGAGCTGTGACCACCCCGAGTGGGCAGAGAGCCCCGAACAGCCTGAGAGGCCCTG